CAAAAATTGTCTGGGATAAAAAAAAAAAAAATATATGTACTGTATTTTATATTATTAGACTCCAAAATCGATTAAGCCTTTGAAACCCTTAAATTGCCATAGTTTTCTGGGGGATTCACACACTGGACCACTTTCGAGAGATTTTGAGCGATGTCAAGATGCCTACTTATGCTCTTGTCAGGGAATAGCCCTATCACCCTCCACCTGTTAGGGACATCAGACGAGTAAATTCAAGCGCCACCCCTGAATCTAAGCGTTCTAGGTTCAACACTAGGATTTTTTTTCCACACCTAAAAATTAACTACATTCCCTAAGCCTCATAATGAGACATGGTTTACACAGAGAATCATTCCATAGTGCAATTGGAAATCTCACATGCTTTTGTAGATAAAAGAAGTAAATAAAATCTTAGAAGTAATGTACAAATGGGATTTTTACAAACCCTTGTCATGAGGTAGACATGAAGGCTGTTTAAAAAATGCATTAGATTCATTCTCATTATGAACATCTTATGAAACAGATCTGACTTATCCGTATGTATCAAGAGTACTGAGCTTCTATCATCACCATCAGAGTCATGTATACTGGATGGGCTTAAATCTATGTACAAAAAAAAATTGTCCACAAATTTACCAAACTGATATATTGTGAAGTAATAGAACATAGTGATAGCTCATCATGATAGTCATAGTGATAACCCATAATGAAATGAATATATGATGACATTATTTATTTATTCAAATATATTTTATGAGAGTGAAAAAATGTAAATAGTTGAAAATATGAAATGATAAACTACAGCTAAATAATATAATAAACTTAATACCTATAGGCCTTAACTGATCCAGAGCATATTTAGCTCTTTTCACTTGAACGAGGAAAGTGTGAATCTGGTTGTATATTTTCAAACAGCTTGGGTTGATTATGAGATTAACAGGCCATGGAACCTAAACAAATAAGAAAATTATAAGTTTTAGGGAAATATCTTATCAAAAATATTACAAATAATACTGATAATGAGACAATACCGCAGGCAACAAAAGCTAAAGACAAGAGTATTCATATTAATAAATATTTTTTCTTGTTCCAGTAGAGAGAGTACAGAGTAACCTTTAACACTGTTCAGATGATCAAATTTTCTTTGACAAAAACTGTTGTATGCCCATATATAGTCACGATATGCCTATATATGGTCGATATGATGTCATCATGACCATATTTAGGCATGTCACATGTGTTTGTCAAATAAAACTTCATAGTCTGGACAGGGCTTTACACAGCTGCTTCAGGTTATCTTGACATAATTTCACCTGAATTCAGATAGACAGGTGAATTTTAAAAATTTTGTTTATCCAATAACAGATCTATTGTTGGTACAACACCACCTGAACACAGGATTGACGTCAGAAGTAACACCCCAGTCTACTTGAAAAAGTGAATGGTTTCCAAAATGTAATAAGAGTATTGTTATGTACACTCGTATTAAATCAACAGAGGGTTTTAAAAAAATCACCCTTAGAATTTTTGTGGTTATAAGTCCGTATGTGTGCTGTGAACCACAGAGGCTTACAGGTTTGGGTCAATTGGTCGCATGTGTCTTCAGGTGTACATTCCAAATTACCACCAACCGTCTTGTGTGGCTTTGAGCATTGAGAAGAAACAGCAATGTTTTTGTTTAAAAAAATTATATATTATGTATGCTGATGAAATTATAAAGTTGAACGTGCATCATAATGACGGGACGGGAGCTGTTTTAAGTTGTCAACAAAATTTGGTTCTTAACAGGATTTGGAAAAATGACCCTTTGACTGGAAGGTGACCATTTTAATAATAGAGACAATAATATTAAAAAATAATAATGTCGACCACTTACACTCTTAGATTGAGAAAGACAACATTGATATTGTGCCTTGCCAATGGACACAAAGGGTTAGTTTTAAGCTTAAAACTCTTTAATAATCAGCGCCTTGAGATGATTTTATTGTACAAAGGCACTGTAAAAATATCCTACCATTGCCATCTTTATATTGGACGCCTCCTGAAACTTTACAGCTGTGCCACTTGCTCCGCACGTCTTTCTCACCAGACTACAAATTCACTACCAAACCTTATAATTTTTATCAAAACAACATAATTTTCAACGACAGATACAGACCTTGTAGTGAATGGTGAGACCATCAAGAGCATGGATCGGTTGGCTAGCTTTTTTAGATGTCAACTTTACGTCTTCTACTCCAGCTGTCAGTCTGGGGGAATTAAAATGTTTAGGTCACAAAAACAAGCTTTCAGTACCATAAAAATCCATGAATAACCGTTTGTAAATTTATTGAAGGCTGCTGCAGGTGAGCTATGGTCTCGAGTCTGCTGTGTTACGAGGTAGTCTCCATGGAAACGGGATGGTCTCCCGCACTCATGTGAACAAGCAAAAAGTCTCCCAGGGACTAACCCGTCTTCCGCAGATTCATGATATTTGTATGTTCATACTAGACTCTATTATCAATTGTCTCCTGGAAGTCAGCTTGATGGGTGGGGAGGGGGTGGTGGGTTTCCACACGCAGCAAAATAAAATTAGATGTGTTAAGCAGATCGAAAGAAAGTGGCTTCTTCCAACTTGGGGTTCCAGTATGAAGCTGAGCTCAAAATATGCCACCAGACACAAGAGCAAACAGCTTGATAAATTGCTATTCATGGCCATTTAAGAAGCTGTTTACTTCTGCGAGTGTAAACATTTAGAAAATGATTTTTTAAAACTTGTAAGTTGGTTGACTAGTTTGTACATAATACAATGCACATATTGTCATGACCTCTGTAAGCTTATTACACTATTACCCCATTCGTTGGCGCATATGGCTTAGGACCATACAATAATATTGCGTGATGGTGGCTGAACCTACTACAGTAGACACCCAATTATACTCCAAGGTGGATAGAGACAACTGTAGGCAAGTGCCTTGTCTAAGGACACAAGTGAAATGCACTGCGAAGGTTTGAACTCTGACCTCTTGGATGATAGCCTGAATCTCAACCATTAACAACTGCTTCCACTATGTATATTTTCAAATATATAAAAGGCAAAATAATGAAAAATAATAATGCTGTGGGAAACAATGGCTGGATCTTGGTAGAGATACAAATTTGATAAGCTAAAAAGTAAACACAAGTAAATAGCCAGAAAAAGAACCAGAGCTTTCGGACAACACTAGTCCTTCCTCATACATGTATATATATTTTAATTTTTTGTATTAAAGTATGACAAGACACCTTGTTATTTTTATTGCATGTTAACTGTACTTAATTTCATAACAATCAAAAATTATCTTATTTTATTTTCTTATTTTTTACTGTTATTATCTTAAGTTACTGTGAATGATACTAAGCCCACCTGTTAGTTTCATTTGGGTATTTAGCTTGTAATGCTTCCTGGAGTTGAAGGTTTAGATAAGTCAAATCCTGCCAAGGCTCATTAAATCTCAACTTATCAAAAAGATTGGAGTAAAAGTCATACATTGTATCACCAGCTTCAAGTAGGTAGAACTTCTGTAATAGATTGAAAGGTAAAAGGCAATATAAGAGATGATTTACATACTCTATTTATTATTTTAAAAAATAAATACCTCTCTTGACTAATGCCTCCCTCGAATAAAAGCCCCCTCAAAAACCCTTCCGGGGCATTTATTCGAGGGAGGCGTTTATTTATTTAATTTTTTTAATGGATACGTATATACCTTAACACCCCTTAGTTTCACTGCAAATATGGAACAACAACACATATTTACCTTCAAAATGTGCTATTGCATTATCATAAAGATGTATTGATCCAAACCAGGTTAGAAAAAATTTTACTGGTGTAGAATATTAAGTGAATGTGTTGAGAATGATGTTGCTTCGAATTAGTTTTGTTTAGTCATTTAGAGGGGTGTTTATTTGAGAGGAAAAAAAGGGGGTTATTCGAGGGAAGCACTAAATGAGGCTCTGGAAGGGGGGCTTGTTTGAGGGGGCCATTTATTCAAAGTGGGGCGTTTATTCAAATAAATACGGTAAGCTATATCACTACAATCAGTATCCTCACTACCATCCACCAAAATCATCTTTAGTCATTACCATCTTCTACCACTAACACTATCATCTTCTCCATCATCATCACAATCCTCTCGCCAAAACAACCCCCTTGCTGTTGCTTCATTCCTTCCACTACCATAGAGTACAACAGTCGTGTCGTCACAACACCAGGTGGCACTTTTTGTTGTCAACCAGATGTTGGTTACCGTTCATTACGCCTGAATGACTTCATAATCTTAATGGTTTAGAATAGGCTTTCTGGAATGGACATTTTAAAACCTAATAATTTACCATCAAAATGTACTAAAAACACAAAAGCTTGCATTATATTAGTTATCAAACACACATTTAATCATCAATTGAAATTTACAAAGAAAAACTAAGATACAACATCTTAATAATTACGTTAGAAATTGGGATCAATGGTTTGTGAGTGGAGAAAATGGCATCGGTTGAAAGCATTTTGTGTTGCCGATTGCAACGGAGTAGTATCACATGTTATCGTGATGTAACACTGCAGTACTCTATGTATAATCATGATCACAACCATAATCATCATCGCAACCATCACAACCACACTCCTTTTACTCATTTCATTTTCATCCTCATCTCCATCATCCACTGTATTCATTATCATTTTCACCATGATTACGATTGTGAGTTTATATTAACCCTAAGTGATGAGTTTATATTTACCCTAAGTGATGTGAGAAAATCAAGAAGTTTGTAGTCTGTCCGAAACAGTTTCATGAGCGACTGACATGCTCTCTGACATTTGACCTCAATGAATGGGTACAAGCATCGATGTAGCATCAGCTGTATGGGTTGTAGATTCAGATCAGATATATTTACGACCCTAAAGGGAATAACATTAGTTTGAAAGATAGAAAGTTTACAAACTGTTTAACTGAGTTAATATGGATTAAAATAAATAATCTGCAAAACATTATAATTTATTTCTTGAGGTAAAACAAAACAGAAACTGCAAGATTCACAAAATAGTGTAAATATATGTAATAAATTATTTTTATGCCATTAATTATTGTTATAAATATTTTTAAGAACTTAATTAATATAAGAATGCTTGCATACTTTTCTTTAGGCTTTGAATTTTCAACTTTGAACCACTCTAATGAAAAGAGTTCCATAAAACTTTGATGGAGAAAGATATCTCCACATGTTGCTGTCCATGGTTCCCTCTGTACTGGTTCAGATGTCATTTGCTGCTGTTTATCACTACTTGTAAACTTTTCCCCAAATGTCTGCTGGAGTGATTCCATAAAATCTGAGTAGATGGAAAGCTGACTACCTGAAAAAAAAAATGATGGTAATGAAAGTGACATATTTAGGAATCCTGAAATGGGTGGTGGTTGGGGTGGGGGGCTGGTGGTGGAAGTTCAAAATGAAGTCGAAGTGCTTAATGATTAGGACGGGGGTGCTACCACACAACATATGGTAATTTGAGCAAGTATTTTTTTGGGCACGTGCCCCCACCCCCCGCACGCCTAGATACACCAGTGGGTAATGATTGTTAATGTGGATGATAAATACTAAAGCTTAATTTGAAGAAACACTACAGCTAGATTCTAAAAAGTATTTAGAAAAATACGAAGCTTTGATTAAAACTTACTCCTTATTGACCCAGAGAGTTTACCCAAAGCTTCTATCAGCTGCATAGACTTGCCAGCAAGAAGGACTTGTTCAACGATGGGCTCTAGGAAAGTGGGCACACCACTGTGAGACGACGATGCCACATCAACACCATTCTGGCAACGAGTCTGAAGGATATACCCCTCTGACCAGAACGTTTCACTATCAATTTCAACTTCTTCATTTCTACAGGAGTGGAAAACGTGTTTAAATTTAGATACATTCATTTCGGCATTTTTATTGACTTGCATCATATTATATATTCATATACATATCTTTAGTTTTGTCTACATGATTTCATTTTTAATTGACAATGCTGCTGCTGATTATTTATTTATTTAAGCACACAACACATGCACCAAGTAGTGTCAATAGCGAAATATATCACTGCCCTACTTGTAGATGGTACACACATGATGCTTTACACAAACTAAATCTCAATATGAGGTTTAGGCAGTGGAGTTGTTTCAGTAGTGAGAAACAAATCCTGCAACATTGATAGAAATTGAATCCAGGACCCTTGGACTGGAAGGCAAGCATACTAACCACCAAGCTGTTCAACTCCACTGATGTTACTCTGTTGCTGATGTCGCTGCTGCTACTAATACTGCTGAATCTATTGTTGCTGCAGGTGTACAATTCAGCTTTGTGTTTACATCTTTGGTTTTGTGAATAAAGTTTGTGGTTCCTGGTTTCATTTTTTTACATCTTTCTTTCATGTGGTGTCATTATGTTGAAAGAGGTGAAAGAGATTTGAAATAATATAATTGAAAATAAAGTAAATAACTGATCAAGGTACCTTCTGATCAAGAATTCCTGTGAGTGTGTTGGCAGAGTTCCCTGTGAGATCCAAGTATCAATGATGTTCAGATATGGTTTAATAGACTTTAACCACACAGACAACATAATATTCTTCTGTAAATGAAAAAAATTAGTGTAGAGCAGTATTGATTTACTTTCATGAAATCGCGATTATCTCAGCTTCGTTGTGCGAAATTGTGTAAATCTCCAAAAGTGAGTCATTTTCATTTTACTGTTACAGGTCACAGATTGTGATTAGAATAAAAGTGTTTGGTACCATTGTAAAGCAAAAATGTTTTTAGTTCTTGTAGTATACATTGCATCTCAATTTGATCACATACGCACTCTCAACATGTTAAAAAATTTGCTTCAACAAATGAAAATATTCTTTCCATTGTACGAATACAAAACATTCATTATTTGTTTTATAACACACCTTAAAATAGATCGGTTCGGCCTAGACTTAGCTAGCCTGGCCTAACCTACCTAGGCCTATCTTGGCCTAGGCCTATCCCCTGCTCAAAACCTAGGACTAGGCTAGAAATCTGGCGGTTTGCATTTCGGAAAATACAAGCCGAATTCCACACACATTTTGCACAAGTTTGAGCTAGTTTTTGAGGCATCATCTACGCAATTAAAATACTTTACAGCTGTTTACAGTAAACAAAATCTCCGATACATCGCACATGGTTAAGACAAGTTTAGCAAGAAGTTGGCCCGAGAAAGACTATAGGTGGCGTGACATCATTTCATGGATTTAACCCTCTGGAAAAAATCAGCCCCGCGTCTTTTTAACCAATCAAAAGATTGTATTAGGTTGAAGTCATTTCGTATCCGTAGGCAACATGCAATGGACGATTCCGATGCAAAAAAAATTCCCCAGGTTGGAACAAAATTTCAATGACAAGCATCGAAATGGGCAAAATAACTAATGTCACGTGGTACAAAATCAACCAATCAAATAACTGGAATCTATTTGTGTGTTATAAAAATCAATATTTACAACAAATATTAGTACTTACAGGTGTCAAGTGAGAAACTTTAATATCAGGTCTAGGGGTCAATATTTGATCCTTGACCTCATATGCATACGAACATGGACTGCCCATTAGTATCCTGCAGTAATAAAGTAATTAAAAAAGTATAAATCATATCTTAGAATGACTACAAAATACAAAAAAATGGTTAAATTTGATACAGTACGACATCCCTATAGATTTCAATCATGGATAATGTCAAAGAGTATAAATAGAACAAGAGAGCAAAGTCCCGTTCGTAAAAACGTCACGCCTGTGTAGGACGCCCACTAACGGTTGTATGTTCTTTTTATTACCCAGTGCAGCGCTGCGCAGCGCGGTAGAAGTACGCCCGCTATAAACCCAGTAAGCAGAAAACAAAAGTACAGTATCTTGTGGAGAACTGATAAACAGACAAACCAACCGTGCGCGGTGGAGTACTGGGTAATAAAACACATACAAGCGTTAGTTGTCCTACACTAGCTGCGTAGGGCGTATCGTTTTTTTACGCTCTCAATGAGCGTTGTTGGCTCTCTTGTTTTGTCTCTTATTTATACTCTTTGATAATGTAGATATCTTGACAAATTACCACAGAGTTTCCCTGATCAGCTGAGTTTCTGTGACAACACGCATGTTAGCAGCAACGTGTATAGGGTTTACATCACTGGCATAAGCATCCCTATTAAGAAAATATGGAAAGAACAAATATATGAATTCTATATCGATGTTTAGATTTGTCATTCATATCAAGGTTTTTGCTTATCAAATCCAAGGTCTAGGATTCAATTTTACAAATTCACATTAATTGTCTCACCAAGATTCCCAAAGTCTGATAGATTTGGTTATTGAGAACAGACTTTCCAGAAATGGTTACTGTAAACTATATTTGTGGCAACTGACAACAAGCCAAACCAGTCACTCCTCACTAATCATGTTTCAGCGATAATGACCAAAACATGCTCCAAATTATATTTTTTGAGATGCCTTAAGAATATTATGGATTTGATAGCAATGAATTAGCTATTGTATACCATACTTATGTTAGGCCCATTCTTGAGTATGCTGATGTTGTTTGGCATTCAGGTCTTATATGTAACCTTAGTAACTCTATTGAAACCATTCAAAAGAGAGCTTGTCGAATCATTATGGGATGTGACTATTGGTTATATAGTGAGGCATGCACAAAGTTGAATCTCTCTTCCCTTGCTGAGAGGAGAGTATCTTATTAACTCAATTTTTCTGAAGGTCTTTCTAATACTGAACATTCAGTAGATTTATTACCACCTACTGTACCAGATTTCAATTAAATGGCCGAAACCTACGAAACCTTAATAACATTTCACGCTAAGAATCTCATACAAAACCGTTTTCTGACAGTCCCTTTCCTTACTTTATTGACCTTATGAATAAGAATTTGTAAAATGAATGAGATCCCCTTCTCTCAGATAAAATAAGATTAAACTTGATTAAACTGAATCAACCCTTTGGTTTTTTTTATGTATATTTTAATATTATAAATGATAATAATAATCTTCCATTTTAATGTAAAGTTTTATCGTATTTAATTTCATTGTTAATGTCATTTTTTATAATAATTTTTGATGATGATGACAATAATTATCTTCCATTTTAATGTAACTTTTTATATGTTTTATTGCCATACCCTCGTGTAATTGTAACTTGTAACTAATTTGGTTATTGTCCACGAACTGTTAAAAATGAGGAATTTGAATTTAGTGAAATAATATATCATCATTTCTGGCATATATCCCCCTTCCCCACCACTACCCAATATTAAAAGTCAAATCAAAATAGAGGGCAGCATTGCTTACCATACGTTTGCTACATTAGCTGCCACATACTGGTTAGGTACTGTTGTATCTACTTCACCATTCCAGTACTGAACAACTACATTTTTTTCTAACCAATTCCTACAGTCTCCTGCACCAGCCCCTAAAGTTGTATTCAGCTGTGTTACTATACAGCTTGATTTTGTGACTGATGTATCCTCAATACCAGTATCTTGCTGATTGACATTATCCTCATCATCCTCAGACCATTCCTATTTAAACGTTTTAACTCTCAAATAATTCAACAAAAGGTATAGCTTACCACTCCTAAAATATTTAATAGTTTTAAATCAATTAAGTTAACTAAGTGTTTAGGTTTTTAGTTTGTAGCACTATATACGTTTTTTCGAAAACATTGCCCCAATGCAGAAGTAGATAAGAGTCTACATTTAAAATATAGATACAGTATTATCCACTCAACTAGGGCCATTGGAATGTTTATCTTTCTTAGACATAGTTAATATTTTTTTACAACAAAAAAATTAAATTGACAATTTTTATTCATTTTATGTAGATATTAAATGCCACTGCCATCAATATTTTGTTAAATCATTCTCAGGATTATTGAATATAATTACCATTATGGCAATCAATTATGGTTGTAATCTTAGATTTTGCTGTATTATCAATGCAAATAGTAGATTTAGTGGTCTTTGGCACCTCTAACACATATCTATGATGGATGGATGGATTTATTCAGTGTAACCAGCAAGGATAACCCACCAAAATCTGAAGAAGACTTATTTCTAGTGGGGCCTTTCTGGTGGTGATTGGGCAGTACACTGGGAGACAATCCCCATCTCTTTTCCAAAGAGTGTACTGTACAGGACCAATAGCTTAACACCTCATCTGAAAAAAACAGTGTGCTATCGCAACTTGCATTTCAGCAGCCCTTCAGCTGAAATAGGCCTACAAGAAGAGAAGCGATGGGAATTGAACAAGAGACTAAGGTATTTCTATGATTTAGCACACGTACAGTGGCTACCACCAGTTTAGCCGACTGAGCTAAGCTGCTTCTTACATCAATAAGCCAATCAAAAACAAGGGAAAGTCAGGATGTTTTATTCTCCCCAGGTATAGAAAGACGAGTATAGGCTTTGAATAGTGTTAATTAATTATATTTAATCAATATGTCAATCAATTATAACTTTACCTCTGGGGAGTCAGGATAAAGATGTTGGTCATCTAATTCAAGTCCTTCCAAAAGGTAACTAGTCCAATCAAATTCTGGCTCTTTTTCTTTAAAGAAAATGAATGGGAGGGTAAAATATTAAGTATTTGGTTGATGAAAGAGGATACATACATTTTTGCATTTGTGCATTACATAGTGCCATCCCAAATTTTTCTGCATGATTTGTTGTACATTGACAAATAATGTTATTGAGCATTAAATATTGAATTTGAAACATGATGCCAATAATAAAATAACAATATAATAATAGTAAAAATATTCTTAACACCATGCCTTATAATTGTCTTATTTCATCTAGAACAAAGCACATATTCTCTATCCCTTGTTCTATATTATACTGTATTGTTAAGAAACCACAACAATGTTTCGTATTAAGCAGTATTATAAACTAATTATGCGGCTAGTGAATTCTGAGCAGAAACAAATACATTCCCCATCATTATAAATAAGTTACTAGCAACTCAATGAATACTCAGTCTTGAATGAACTACCAGTTTCTTCAGCCTTTTCTTTTTCTTGGTAATCATTCTCTGTTGGGGTGTTAGCAAGACAAACCAGAAGGGAAACAAGGCCATAGTGTACATCAGTCTGAAACCAAATTAATCAGTCTTTATTATTAAATATATTCACTATAAAAAAACAAAAACAATTTAATTGAGAATCCATGAACAACCAGTTCAGGCTCTGGCCATTGCTCATTCAGAACACAGATTAATCTTTAGGGGAAAAAAAGGAAGATTGTATGCCACCGTATGCTTCATTTATTTTATTGCATTTAACGTACCTTGTGTATTATGTTACTTTGTTATATTACCTTATTTCTGCATTTAGTACTAGACCCTACACTCCGATCAGCAGCTATGGCCCAGTTGGTTTACGCATTTTATGTCTTTGTGGCACATAAGTTCCTAAGCCACCAAACTATAATCAACTACAGATCAGAAAACAACAAACTAATAATATAAGAAGGGTATAGAAGGGATAAGTTACCTTAGGGTGCTGTGTTGTTCTTGATATCGGTGAGTGTAAGAAAGTCTTAAATAAACGTTGCAATGAATCTGCTTTCTGACCTCTTGAGTGGACTACCAATTTCTGACATATTCTGAAAAATTTTTTTTTCAAAAGATAAGAGGTTGTGACTTAAGATGGTTTGAACTTCATAAAACTAAGACAAAAAACACACAATTTGTTTACTTCTTGTCATCTATAATACAATTATTACAGCAAAAAAACTGTTGTATGACCATATATAGTAATGATTTGCCTAAATATGGACATGATGTGATGTCATCATGACCATATTTAGGCATGTCACATGTTTTTATCAAATAACTAATTTTATAAGTGTGGACAGGGCTGTATGCAAGGTTTAATCAGCAATCTAAAAAAGTTTAGTAATATTAATATGCATCAATGAAACTGAAAAGAACAAAATGTTGGCTTTTACATTTGATGTTAACTTATTTTCTGTCATGTCATTTACTTAGTGGATGCAAATGGTATGAGTCAGAGAGTCACAAATATTGATGAGTACAACAGCACAGTACCTACCCTTTAATTTGTCGTTCCACTTTGTGACTATCTACATCTAAGAAACGATGAAAACGAAAATTGGACAATACAAATTGGAGACAGGTATGAAAGTTCTCAGACTTTTCCTGTGAATTAAGGAAACATAATGATCAAAAAGAAAATTAAATATATGAAGACCTGCTCCTATATTTCTGTTGTAAAACAAAATGTTAAAGCTTTTCTTCATTGACATAATATAAGAACTCATGTTAAGATTATAAAGTAAAAAAAAAACTACATGATAAAAAACTTGATGCTACTCGAGACTCGAACCAGGGCTCCAATGGTACTGGTGATGAAGAATGTGGAAAATTCTAACCATAAATAGGGCCAGGCTAATATAGAACCCATCTATTTACCTTGTTTTGCATAAATATGTTTTAAATATAGGCTGATGGCGAAGATTTTTAATGAAGGATTTCATGAAAATTTTGCATTGAAACTAGCTGTAACTAACTAGGCCTAGGCTACTGTAGCCTCAGAAAACGCCTTAGAAAATGTGAAAATCTGTGTTAGGGCAAATAGAAAAATTTATTAGATCATCACTGTGTCAAAAATTTTGGAAATATTGATGCGGGAATAATTTTATAATGTCTGATTTTTTCACCGGAATATAGGCCTAGTTTTGGATAGGCCAATGAATCACAGGGCAGTTGTTTAAATGAATCCACTTCGAAAAACAATGTCATGTTCGTTCTGTTCATGCACACCCCCCAGCCCCACCAACCCTCCATAATTTTCATAATATTTAATATTATGTTATGTATCTTTGACTTTGTTATGGTATCTGATTGAACCAAGTTTAAAGAGGATCACAGATCGGAAACCGACAACTATTACTTGGCCTAGTTAGGTAGGCTAAACTATAGACTAGGCCTAGTCTAGCTCTAGTCTCTAGAGCCTACGCCTATCGAAGCCGACCGGAACAGTTTTAGTCTTACTACAACAGACTAGACAAGGCGGTACTAGATATTACTAAGTTAAAACAAACCTAACATCTGTCCCCAAAGGTTTTTATGCATTTTCACCTCTTCCCTGGAACCAACTTCCCACCGCCATCCATTCGTTTATAATGATGTAATGTAATGATCCAACTCTTTCTGAATTTTAATTTCTTCTTAAAACTTACCTTTTTCCAAAGTTCATACTTTTAAACGTTGTGAGATTCCGGTAAAGAGCGCTATATAAATGCTTAAATATTATTATTATAATACGGTGGGCCGCCTAGGCATACCTCCTCTTCACTATATCCTCCTAGCTAGGCTAGGGGTGATTCTTCTAGGCTAGGTAGGTAGGCCTTGGCTAGTCTAGGCCTACCCTAGGCCGAACTTGTCCTTACCTTAAAGCCTGAAAGTGATTTGATTAGCTTTTTTACGTTAGTTTCTATTTCAATTGTCATTAAAATCGGAGCCATTGCGGAATGCCATATTATTTCTCGTTAAAGGAAAATAAAGTCAATTTTTTATACAACTTCCCCATCGCTGATTTCAATTTGTATTTTCCGCGAAGTTGTTGTTTGCCGTCCTCTAGCGTCCTCGTGTTTGTTTGTTTGTGTGTGCATTTTCTATCCCATCATTCACGTTCTCTTCACATTTTAGCACCAGTAATCATGGGTATGTTGTACTTGGTGTTGTATGAAAACCAATATAATCTGCTTTTACAAATGTCATCAGTTCATTAAATTTATATATTTGGAGTATATTATTATTTAAGAATGAATCTTGTGAAGCCATTTTACCTTACATGAACTGATTACATGGAAAAAAATCAATAATATATTGCTACCATCCATTGGAGACTCCTTATCGAATTCATTGAAAACTGGTGCCAATGACTGTTGTTGTAGAGCTGTGCTAGCTCGATCTATTCCCTTATATCTTCCATCTTTTGTTTGTGTTTTGGTTGGGCTAGATAGATAGTTTTAGATTTTATTTGCCGGTATCAAGGTGTAGGCCTAGGCACTTTCCATCAGTTATCTTGGTAGCCTTATTATTAGATAGTCCTCTACTGTCCTAGATAGGCTAGCTAAGCCTAAGCTGGGTAGCTACTGTAGGATAGAGGGATCGGATACAGCGGGCTAGGCAAGCGCCGGCCTCTATAAAGGCCGTAGACCTGGGTAGCACGGTAAGGTGGAGTAGGCCTAGCTCCCGTGTGCTGTGAGACGGGATTAGTTGCGAGGGAGTGTCCACTTTGAATTTTATGGAGATCGGGTTAAATTTATCACTATACTGTATAGGATTAGGCTAGGCCTAGTTTAACTTTTTTAATTGCACGGATGATACCTCAAAAACCAGCTCAAATTTGCATGGGAAATCGCTGGGTCTAGAAAAATAGGTTTGCAGAATTGTACTTAATGCATAATACATTTTTTATATATTAACATTATAGGTCAAAGCCTAATTTTTGCCAAAATATCCACAGATATTGGACCTTATTTTTTTCCGAAATGCGCAGACAGGTTTCTAAGCCAAATGTTCGTGTGGAGGATATAGCCCGCGTAGGCCTTACTTTGCAGTTGAGGGTAGTGCATTAATTAAAATAGCAAGACTAAAGTTTAGGTACGGTCAAGCTAGCTCCACCAATCATCACCTAAAATATCCATGGCTGTTTAATAATTGATACAACAATGGCTTTACATTAATTTCATCATTCATCATCATTTAAGTGTTGTATAATATAGAACATACTTTAAGAAAGAATTTTGTACTCTCTATAGGATAGTGATCAACTTATTGAAATTAAGAGTTTTAATAAGTGTAACCTCATTACAGGTATATCAAGGGACAGGTGGCACAAGAGACGAAAGACAGGAGGAAAGAGGAAGCAACTGCATAAGAAGCGCAAATATGAGTTGGGACGTGCTCCAGCAATGACTAAGGTAGTCTAAATGTTAAACTGCAAATACACAAACTTGCATAGGGTATAAGCCACAGGTGGACAAAAATTTGGCCCGCGGGCCGCATGTGGCCTGACAGGCCCTGCGAAAATGAATTATAAACCCTGTGTGCGGCCCGCCAAGCAACATTGGCTTGAAAACACCATATTTTTTAAGGCCCAACATTGATCATATGTAAAAAGTAACATTACAACTCAGAATAATGTGGTGTAAAAGCAGTGCTTGGAGGTTTTTGGAAGCTCACTGGAACCATCAAAGTTTGGGTTTGGCCCTTGTTGTTAAATCAAAAATCCACTTTGGCCCTCCAACCAATTTTTTTTATGCCCACCCCTGGTATAAGCCAATATAATATGCTGGTAAATAAGCTCTTGGAGAACAGAATTCTCTTACCCATTGAATTTTTGACAGGAAGTATTTTATAAAGCATTTAACAGAAGTTATTGCTGTATATTCTTGATTTTAGATTGGTGCCAAACGTGTGCACTTGGTACGTTGCAGAGGTGGCAATATCAAGTTCCGTGCTCTTCGTCTTGACACTGGTAACTTTTCTTGGGGCTCTGAGCGTAAGTGTATTGATTTTTAATGTTATATATTTTGGACCCATACCCATATATTTTTTATTTTAGCTGCTGTTTAGAAACTAGAGCAGAATGATGCTTATGATTAGTCTTGCTGAAGGGTGTGTTAAGTGCCCCTTAATGATTTATTGTCATAGTTACACTGACTGCTCCTATCTTAGATGATGTATTAACATTTTCATTTAAATACTGTGTCAAAAAACTTGTTCTTATTTTTTACTTTAATATTTGTATATGGTTACTGTTCTTTTCAGAGGTCACACGAAAGTCTCGAATCATTGATGTGGCGTACAACGCCAGTAACAATGAGTTGGTGCGAACCAAAACTATAGTCAAGAACTGTATTGTTTACGTTGACTCTACACCATTCAGACAGTGGTACGAATCTCACTACATTTTGCCTCTTGCCCGCAAGAAAAATGCAAAATTGGTAAGGCTTATTTAATAATATTTTTAATGCGATTGTTTGGAAAGCAGAGCAGAATGATGCGTAAGATTAGTCTTGCTGAAGGGCTTAGTGCCTCTTAGTGATTTATTGTCATAGTTACACTGACTGCTCAATATTTATGATTAAAGTACTGAATTCCCGAAAGGAAAATTGAGAAAAAAGAATTTTAATGTTAATGGATTAAACAGTGAAAATCTAAGAATCTAAAAAAAGATACAAAGCAAGTATATGTACAAGTTTTTTTTCAGTTCCTTATTATAAACTTTTAAATAGACAAAGATTATGCTCTTTCAAGATATGTAATATTTGAAAAAAATTGTTTTTTCTTCGCAATACTGTGTGCTATAATCTACAGTAATACCAACCTTATATACTAAAATATTGCATATCTTTTGTTTTAAGTATGTTCTATAATTTTTTGACAGAACGAAGCTGAAGAGGAGATTTTACACAAGAAACGCTCCAAGAAGGCAACAAAGAAGTACGAACTTAGGCGAAAAGAAGCTAAAATCGACCCCCATCTGGAAGAACAATTTGGTGTTGGAAGATTGCTTGGTACGATAAATTTCACATTAAAGATACCACTTAACTTTGTTTCCTTCATCATAATTTGCTCATATGACAAATTGGGGCTGGTTATCTTCTAGCAAATCATCACAATCAGATTATTGCAGATATTGGTTATATTAATGGAAAATTTGAATACAACCCACACTTTGCTACTTTCCATGATTCCTAACAATATTCTATATTGTCTATGTTAAAAACCCTCAGTACAGATGGTATGTATTTAATCCCTGGTATTCAAACTTTTTAAGCTGGGGCCAGTTTCAATCTATTGAGACCACCGGGGGCCCCGACATACATTTTTACTTCCAATTTTTTAAATGTCAGCCCCACCTACTTTATAGGCTTAGAAGTCTTCCTAATAGGCATATTATTAGCCTTGGTTTTTCGACATCATCTAAGATAAACCTTGTTTTGTAGATATGAGGGAACGCAGTTGGCATAAGGAAGGTTGGAGGATACAAAAAATCTCCTACCTTTCTACCACTAGAAATTTTCCAAAAAAAAAAATACCCTCAATGTACTAAGTAGTTAAAAAAAATGTTAGCTCCATAAAGTTCCTGAAGAGGAGTCAGATTCCCTTTCCCTTGATTTACCTCAGCTCAACCATGGTTAGGGCTGAGGTGAGAAATTTTTTTAAAAAAACACCTCTAGATTCCCGGAAATGGCACATTTAGACTTTAAAAGACACATCAAAGCAGTGTTTTCAACAGAATGACATACCCATGAGCCTGCTCCACGGATCCGCCGCTGGTGTCGCTAATAGTTAGACATACATCATATCAGTGATCCCCACTTAATCATTTATCCCCATCAGTCTCTCTCTCCCCCATTGCCATTAGGACAAGAATCACCAACCTGTCTCCTCTCCCCATGCTAAGACACTAGATAGATAGTGAGGTACACTAAACACTAATAATGCCAAAGTAGGTAGTCGCGCTTTTATAAACAGAAAAACTTTTTCTGTAAGTATTGAAAATTGGACGGAAAATGATTTACTTTTTAGTGATGTTTTGCAGGACGGACTGAAATCTTGGCGGGCCGGAGTTTGAATATCGGGGTATTTAATGAACTTGACAAAATTAATGAAGCAGAGTGATGAAAACTATATACTTATCTGATGGGTGTGTTAAGTGTCGTTTTGGCACTCTTTGTCATCCAGTAGATGTTATGTCATAGTTACACTGACTGCACAACCACAATATTATTAGTACAAGACAAATATTTGTTTGACTTGGTCTCCCTCCAATTTTTGCAAAGTGTTCTCCTCTTGTTATGAAATACTTGTGTGGAGTATGGTACTTTTTAAGCTGCAATTAATTTAATACCTTAACCATAAACTTTAGCACAGTGGTTAGCAAGTTACAATTATATCAGCCTAAGTAATAACCATAATCACTAGAACTGGGTTAGGCCTATAGTAAAGATTAAAAAAATATATTCCCCACAAAATGCCCCATATGATTTCCATATTGCCACTGTGCTTGGCAGGCCTGGAAAAAATGTTTGTGCCTCTGAACCATGAAAATTATCTTGTTCAAATGCCTCCAGGCCAAATGTTATCTTTACACTATAATTATAGCCAAACAGTAGTACTGTACATTTAGTGGTTTGGAACAGGCAAAAATATTACATTTAATTATCCCTTTAAGTTGTGATGTGTAACAATTTAAAAAATTGTTTTTTTTTTCTAAAATGCCTCCAGGGTAATGGTCAATGACTCCGACTGCCAGTCACACGGTCTTGCACTTTTTCCAGCCCTAGTGCTTGGGCAACAAAACCATACATTTTTGGCCCCCTGTATCAAGAAGCATTTATATAGGGTGGATAATAAGGTGTTGCTCACGTTCATCTTCTTTTAACATAACCAGTCTATTTTTTTTTTTACAGCGTGTATTGCTTCCAGACCTGGACAGTGTGGACGTGCAGATGGCTACATCTTGGAGGGTAAAGAACTTGAATTCTATTTGAGGAAGATCAAGGCAAAGAAGGGAAAGTAAATCAAAAAGTAGCAGCCTTTGTAGTTCGTCTCTTGAAATGTTCATATTAAAAATACTCTAAAGTATGGTGATACAGTATTTGCAAGTGTTATTTTTTTCATTTCAACTGTCGTCTGCTTTTGAGGAGTGTGTGTGTTTTAAATTAATAATGTGATGCGAGTAGATATAAAATTGTCATACCTTATTTGTATGAATAATAATTTGGTATTTAATACCACTCTACTTAACTCGGAACATTCCACATTTGTATTAGCCTAGCCTATGGAACACATAGCTCCTGGGGGCGTATTCCACAATTGGCTGCATAGATCAATGCTTTGGTACTAAATACATCTAAGGTGCCGACTTATGCTCCTGGGTGGAGAGATAAAACATGGTTGTATGGCCCTGCAAGCAAGTTGCACAGTGAGGTATTCGAACCCTGACCTCAAACCTCCAAGGTACTGCACCCACTTATGCTCCTGGATGGAGAGATACACCATGAATGAATGTCCTTGCAAGTTGCACAGTTAGGTATTCAAACCTTGACCTCAAAGGTACAGTATCCACTTCTGGGTGGATAGATACAACATGGGCACAGTAGGGTATTGAAATCCTGACCTTAAACCTCCAAGGTACGGTACGCACTTATGCTTCTGGGTGGATAGATAAAACATGGGCACAGTAGGGTATTCAAACCTCCAAGGTACAGTACCCACCTATGCTCCAGGATGGAGAGATACAACATGGATAAATGGCCTCGCAAGAAGTTGCACAGTGAGGTATTCAAACCTTGACATCGAGACCGAGAGCCTAAACCACAACCATTGCACCAACTTATTTTCGTAAATAAACATTGAATCAATTTGATATTTGTAGATGTTGAAGAATCGGCAATAGGCTATACCATGCAATATGTTAGTATGCTCTTCAGATAGGATCGCATAGAACAATACATGACAGTTTTCCATCATCAACTATCAACTAATGGTCTAGTAGAGCAGAAATCCCTATTCTGTGGGAGATCCTCCGATCCCCCCTGATTATGGGCCTGCTATAAAGTAATATTCTAGAAGAGCACCATCCCATATAACTGCTGAAAATGAATGCTAAAAAGTACATTTTTCTAGGCAAAACAGTCATTCCAGGTCTATGGTAAATATGTTAAGTAATATTCTGGAAGACCACCATCCCATAGAACAACTGAAAATTCAAACCCAAATTCTTTCATATTTTAATGTATTTGAACGCTAATTTATATTTTATATTTCTGTATGTACAATTTTAATATGCAAAGAATTGTTTCCGCTCTGCATTTCCTCTTGGACAATAAATTGAACTGAACTGAATTGAAAATGAATATGAATGCTGATTAGAACATTTTGCTAGGCCTAATGAAACGGTCATTCCGGGTCTATGGTAAATGATGTGCATATAAAGAGGGCGTTCGTTCAATAAATAGTGAATATTTCTGCTGCTCAAAAAAAGCCTGACAACATTTGAAAACAAATGAAATCTGTAGAAACTTTTTAAAATATTACTGTATATTTTAGTCATCTGTGCATATATATTCAATGTTCATTAGATATTGCAACATTATTACCAACTAAATATAAATGAAGATATAAGAATATATAAAATATATATTGTACACACTTCAGAAAATATTATAACCATGAAATTCATATCCCATATAATGTATCTACAGTATTGAAAGATGTACTATCAGTCATAGAGACTGGAAAACATCTCAAAAATTTAAATAAATTTTTGAATAGCTCATTTGAAAGGATCAAATAAATACTAGCTTCCAATGAGAAACAGATAAAATAGAAATTTCACCAATTTACAGATATTTTACCTAAAAAAACCTTTGATTACCAGCCAATATAAGGATCTATTCTATGTAAAAGTATAGAGGAAAGTTGTTATTAAACTGTCCAAAAATTGACGGATGATTTAAAATTTAAGAATTTAACTTAAAATTCCAAATTTTAAGTTAAATACTTAAATATACAAATTAAGCAATTCAAATGTACAATTTAAATTTTCATTATTTTACCCCATGACTGATAGTACTGTACATCTTTAATCTGGGTTTACTGTGCACGATTTGTTCAATCAAATTTCCCCTTTACAATAAGCTTTCTGGATGAATGTTCCATCCTGCATTATCCCAATTTGCTTGCATCAAATGTTTATTACTATACCTCATAATTATTAATTAGACAATAACATTGTGGTAGTTTCCCTGGGTGTGCCAAATTTATGTAAACGCAGGGAAAAAAAGTACAACCTGAAATCGACTGCCTCACCCCAGCCTACACGAACCGTGTGCAAATTCTAATTTTACCCTTGCAGATTGAAAAGGCTAATGTAGATAAATGGTTTGCTGTTTAATATTTATGAGGTACAGTAAAACAAATACAACATGGTTTTATTGCAATAAAGCAGCGAATTGTACTTCCTTTGTTATTGTACGATTAAGGAAGTAGAATTCGCTACATCACCTTAAACCATGTTGTTTTGTATACTATTACCTGTAATGAATTACAAATTCTTCAAAATTCAATAACTCATATAAAGCACTACTTCATATCTAGGTCACTGTGGTTATTAGACCACACCCATACATTATGCATATTAGCATAGTAGCTAACATGTCATTAAATATATTCAGCCAACACCTGCTGCCTACAATTCCTTTTCTTGCAGCTTTGAAATTGATCCGTAAGCTCGTAATTTGTTTTGAAGAGGATAATTGCATATTGTATTATTGCATTAATCGGACTATTCTAGAATTAATAATATATATCTGCTGTATTCACACTTTTTCAGCAAAAATGTACAATTTGGCATTTTTGGAATGTATGTATAGAATCTTTGATTCAGTGAAAGTCAATTGGAATTTAAAGGAAGATAACATAAAATCATTAAAAAAATAATGTAAATGTATATCACATTGGAATCTAGTTATCCCCTCATCAGAAAGACAAAAAAAAAAAAACAGATGAAATTCATATATATTTGTATATACTGTATGTTTTTTAAAAACCCTGAGATATTTAAATAAATACCTTTTGAGTGCCAGACAAAGTTTATGCAGTGGTGACATCAAAAGTTAACCCTTATATGTTCTGTGATTTATCTCGACTTACATTTTTATGAAGAATTAAAAAATATTCTTGCATCTAATGGAGGATTTTATACAGAAATCCGGAGTAATGACATTTAAGGTCATAGAATTTACTTAAGTCTACACAAGGTCAGTTGCTCTGAAAAAGCACCCTGTAACATCAGTTATATTGTGAGTTAATCATGCTGCAAGGTACAGTACTGTATGTGTATTGAATGCTTTGTTCCTGTTTTATTTGGCTCTTCTTGATGACAGCACTTTCTAAAATTTGTATATCTTTGTATACACTCTGAGATCTTGTGATGCCTGGAGTTTCAGACTGGCGGTGCACTTTGAGATCTCACGATGCCTGGCATTTCAGACTGGAACCAATTTTCAAAATCCTCAATACTCATGCTCACAACATTCTCCCGGATAAACTGAAAAAGTAAGACAAATATCAAGAATTCAGTTGGCAGAGAGAATTGTTGAAATGTATATGAAAAAATGAAATAATTTGGATTTATGATTCTGTTAAAAAGGAATCAATAAACCAGTGTTGGTTGGCAGGGGGATTGACCATCTTCCCCTGGCATCACAGAACAACTGTATAGTCCCCCCCCCCATTTAATCCCAGAGCCACAGCTTTTAATTTAAGGGGTGGGCATATAAATTGGTCGAAGTGCCAAAGTGAATTTATTGATTTAACACTCAGGGCTACAACCAAACTTTGATTTTCAAGTGTGCTTCCAAAAAACCTTTATGGACTGTTTTTATAACACTTTATGCTCAGCTCTAATACTACCTTTAACAGATGATCGATGTCGGGCCGTAAAAAACAAGATTTCTAGCCAAAGATGGTTAGCGGGCTGCACACATAGGGTTTTCAATATATTTTTGCAGGCCTCAACAAAATCACCGTCAGGCCGCAGTTTGGCCACCTGTGATTTAAGGGATGTTATAAGATAGCACTTGCTAGGCTCACCTCTATTGCAGCACTGATGTCAGGTGAACAGATCTCCCAGTGCCTCAGACCTGACAGAATACCTAAGAATTTCTGTGGAGTTATCTTCCGGCTCTGAATGTTGCCAATGCTTTCCAGTTTGTCTACAATTGCAGAGCATTGCATGTCATTTATTATATCTTGTGAAAGGTTTTTCTTCAAAGCATAAAACCTGTGAAATTCAATTAGGAATAAGGTAAGGCTATCATTTTTGTTATGATACAATATATTATTTTACTGAAGGAAGTGAAATCCACTAATGATGCTGACTTAAAAAAAACCTAAAATTAAGCATGTTAAAAAAAAAAAAAATTTTTTTAAATCCTCTTGCATCCTTGAAAATTCCAGCAACCTGTGCAAAATGTTCTTGACTTCGCAAATTTGTATGACTTAATAAAAATATTCTATCAATCAATAACAAATGCTGCCCTCTACATTTGTTTTTATATCCTTCCAAAGCAAAATGGCGGCTTCTTTCTGTAATTGTTTACTGTATATTTCTGCTATAGTTTTCTGCTCAAACCTTGAACTTTGAAAAAAATTCTTTTATAAAAAGACAGGATACACTGAAAAAACCTTTTAAGGAAACAAGACACATTCTAATTAGGATACAAGTATCACGTTCACTGACTCCCTTCCCTCCTTCCCCCACCCCCACTCCTACTCCCACCCAAATATGTTGTAAATCTAACTTTTTTCATGGTATCTTGAGGTGTCAGTAATACTAGGGAAGCTGTATGGCCACATCATTGATAAAGTCGGTGCACAAAGGAAAAATTGACACAGAAAATGCTCAATTATTTGTATATGGTAAAAAGCCACTAATTATCTGTTTTTGGTATTTTGAGCTTCTTTTTGGAAAATTCAGGAGAATTTGACAAAGTTCGGTAAAATTTGACAAAATTCGGGAGACTGGGAGATTGTGTGGAAATTCGGGAGACTTCCAATCGAATCAGGGGGGTTGGAACGTATGCATTTACCAATTAAAATTATTTTTGAATATATATATATATATTATATCGAATACTGATTCAAGTTTTATTTTAATGCTATGATGGCTTCTTACCATTTGCATTCACTTTCAGCTTTTTTCTTCTTCTTTTTCTCCTCTGCTGTTTCTTCTGGGTCTTGTCCTGCTTTCTTCAGTTCATCTAGTTGTGTACTTATGTGGAGCTTAGTGCTAATAGCTTTAAATTTCTCCTCGCTCCTCCAAAGTCTTTTCCTAGAATTGCAGAAATAATTTCATGGATTTGACTAATACAGTATATATTAAAATTTTTAAATTTAATTTTTTACTGATATACAAGAACAATTTACATAACAAAATGTCAGAGACATGCTAATGACTGTCTGCAGTCTTCTTACTGGTGTATGTTGTAACTAACAAAAACATATAATTAAAATAAATTTTTCCAATGTACTTTATCTGTAGCGATTTTCTTTATGCTTAAATAGATCTTCATAGTTTCTTAAACAGAGTTGTCTTTTATTTAATTAAATGAATTATATATACAAGTGCAAAAATCAATCACATTTGAAAAAACCCATTCATATTATGTAAAGTATTTAAATAATAAATTACAAATGATGATAAAAATTCATTAGGAAAAAATCATTATAATAATATTTCCAAATAGAAAAATAGATCATAAATTGAGTATAAAAATACAGTAGGTCATTCAGTAATATGTACAATATTATAATAATTTTTCAATTGCTAAAATTCAATAAATCTAGCTGTTAACAAAAAAAAGTTAAGTGGTGTTTTTCACAGTAATTCAAGATAATACACTCAGTCCAAAAAGTGAAATATGTTTACTTTTCCATTGCTTCAAGTTGATCATGCAGCATCAAATCTTTATCCTCAGCAACATCACCAAACTTTGCCCTCAGGTCAACAGGAAGGTAAATATGCTTCTTGCTTGGGAATAACATCTTGAACTCTTGTGTTTTTGTACCAGGAGCACTGTATGAAAAATTGGGATACTATAAATCAACTGGGATATTGGAAAGACAGGATGAAATGGTAATAGTCTATGCTGTCTTGAATCATGCCTGGTTCATATTGCTTTTCTGTGTTCTTTGAAATGTTTATTTCAAAATAATTTAGAATAAGTTTAATTATGCATTGTTATATAGGTAGATAGGATCAGATCATATGGTGAGTCTGAAGGCAGTGGCGTATATCTAGGCGTGTCCATGCCCCACAAAAACTACTCTTACCCCCAGTCATCCCCCCAAAAGAATCATGCGTAAGTAGTTAAAAATCACTTCAAATCACCTTATTTTGTCAGCTAGCACACTTCACCTAATTATCGACCCCCACTTTACATTCGCGCCCCTATCAGGCCCTCCCCACCTCCACCAATTTTTAAACTCCTAGATACACCACTGTCTAAAGGGCAGGTTTTTAATGAAGAACATAACAATATAAATTCATATTTTCAAATATAGTTAACATTTCTTTAAACACTTCCACAACACATCTACTAAACAAATTCAACATGATATTATAGTAAGACTTTTGATTATGCACAACTCTATGATATTCTTCTTTCAAAGCCCTTGATTTTTGTGTTGATTTTAATGCTTGTGAAAATCTCTATACATTACTCCTGACTTGTCTTGTATATATGGGCGGGTTTATACTTACATTATTGACATACACTTAACAGCATATGACACGATTACAGATGACTGCTATATTAATTATTTAAAAAAATATTAGTGGAAGAGGTTAATACCTTGTTGACCTAAGCTTCCTGTTGGTGGAAACAACCCACTTTTGAATTTGTATATCTGGTGTCTTCTTGTTCATAATCTTGTTCCGTTCTTCTAATTTCTGCCTCTAAAAAAAAAAAAAAACCGTATAAGTGAAGAGGAAGGCATAGCATGGAATCATTAATTGTAATTGATTGGACATTCAAGCATAGTAAATAAAATCCCTGTGCAATTTTATAAGGGACAAAAAACAATTTAGAAAATGTTTTGAATGTTACCAAATTTGTAGAGTCGGTGGCATTGATGGAAAAATAACAGTGAAGAAAAAGGATTGTAAAGGTAAACAGTTATTCAATATACAAATTAATTACATAATACTGTCATGGAAAATATAAAATGTTTAACTTACCGAAAGCACTTGGTTTTTTAAAGAATTCTTCTCTTGAGTGCCATGACTACTCCTATTGCTTACCATTGAAGCAGACCTAACAAGAACAATAAACAATGCCCAATTCAACTACACTGAGCATTCACATTCACACACCAATTGTATTTATATGTTCATGAGCTGTTTTGTATTACATGCAGGCGTATATTATTTTTTATTGTGTGAGAACACTGAGTGTACCGTAAATGCGCCGCTCTTGAATAATTGCCGTTCTCAAATAAGTGGCGCACTAAACCTGCTTTTTTTTTTCGCTAAGCTCCGCTCTCGAATAAGCACTGCTCTCGAATAAGCACTATGGCGCTTAATTGAGAGTACATAACACCCTGTGTGTAATGAAACACTCTGAAAAACAGGGTTTAAAATCAATGTTTACAGTGTTAATGAAGACACAAACATTTCTTCGTAAACATTTATTTACAATGACATAGGCACTATGATAGGCCTACAGAATTACAGGAATACATAAGATAGGCAAGAATTAACGGGCATGGAAAGCGCCACGCCAATATTTTTTTTATAAGTGCTGCTCTCGAATTAAAGTGCTAAATTAGAAATATATGAGCTTAAAAGCGTACGGCAAAAAACTCCTCGACAATGAACACAAGGTGCTTAACAATGGACTCAGAGCTTCAAAAGAGCTTTCTTTGTTTTTGTAGGTATCTTTGATCATTAGAGTAAGAATGCTTTGATCTTTTGTTTAAATCACTGCTATGGCTATGTTCACACACACGGCGTAAGGCTGGCTTAAGCATGGCATAGCGTACGCCTTTGTGTGTGAAATAGGCAGTGGCGTTGTTAAAGCCACTCACTACGCCACGGGATTCAATATTTCGACATTAATTATGTCATCATCAGGAATGATGACATGAATGTTATTCCTGATGATGACATAATTAATGTCGAAATATTGAATCCCAACACGATGGCGTGTATTTCAATACTTGGAGTATGTATTATACTTTCGTATTATACTTTCTTATCTGAGATTAATCAGTGGACCTTTCGGTTTTTATGAACATTTAATATTTCTTTTTCAGGCAATCCAGTCAGTCAACCAATTGTGCGCTTGATTCTACGTTTGTACATGTTGACGAAACATGTAACCCCTACTCTGAAAATCAACCACCCAAAGATACTTTTTTGAGACAAAAGATTATACTGTAAATTTGTTGTATTTGATTTACAATCAATAATATAACTATTAGTATCTTATTTTTACTAATATTATCAATTATATTTACCTGTCATGCTTATCTATTCTGCTAGCTGTCTCTGGATCATTGTCATCCAACTTGGTTGCTGCAGATCCCTCACGGATGTCTAATAGTGACCGGTTCAGAGCTGGGGTGTCAGAGAGTAAAGAATCCAAACAAATTATACAGTGTTTCAACTTAGTATCTATATATTAGTAAGTGTATTACTACAATTATGCAAATTAATGAACAAAAATGGTATTAGCCTTCCACAATAAAGGCCTCAATTGTTCAACTTAGACAAACAGATGATCAAAGTTTGATATAATTTTAATATGTAGAGTAGAGGTTGGTACTAAGATGCTTGACCTCCAATACCAGGGTCCTGTGTTCAAATCATTTGAAATACCAATATTTCTGATTCTTATAATGAGACTTAGTTTAAAAAACACCCTTCCCCATCCTGTAATTTGCAAGTGTACTTGATGTTGGATGTGAAGTAGAAAAATACAAAATATATAAATTAAAAAATCAACTATGCCTCTATCTTCTTTAAGAGTATCATCCTGTTGTGTTCCAGTGGCAAACATATTTGATGTTGGTGATGAGCTGGACACAACAGATAAAGCTTTACCAGGATGAATTTGTCCACTGGAGATCCGTCGTGGACCTCGATGGAACTGTGCGGCAGCTGTTAAGTTTGTACCAAATTTACCAATCATTCTTGTTCTCTGTAGAAATGTAAGTTAATATTATCAACATAAATCTCTGTCCACACTATCAAATATTTTTTGACAAAAAATAGTTGTACATGCCCATATAAGGCATGTTGTGGCGAAATGGTTAAGTTGTCGCACAGTCCAGTTTTGAGTAAATAAGCTATAAAATATGGGAGCTCAAAAAATTGCCTAAAAATCCAAATTTGTTTTTCACNAATCAACAGTTTAATGTCTTATTAATCATGTCCCAAAGTATTAGTTCTGGAAGTGGTTAACAAATTGTTTATTTAACGTTATTTTTTATAGTTCATTCTATTAAACAATGTATGTACAAATAACTTCGAAAGGCAATTACTCAAAATCATGTTTATCTTGAGTCTAAGAGTACTGTACTTTCACTTTCCAATAACTTAGGCTTGAAATGTCCAATTTGAATGAATGACCTCTCATTTTAAAAATAACATACTCAGGTATCTGAAAATACCAATAACCTGAATTTCAATTTTTGCTACAACTTAGCCATTTTGCCACAACATGCCTCATATATAGTCATGATGTGCCTATATATGGTCATCATCATGACCATATGTAGGCATTTCACATATTTTTGTCTGAACAGGGCTTAAGCAGGCTTACGAAGATCCACAAACAACTGTAGGCACCCTATGGTTAAAAAAAACATGCCATATTGGTGGCCTGCCCACAATTCACTATTCTGGGTAAAAGACAGGACAGAACTTGTCAAGAGTACTGTATATGGCCCAAAAAACACAAAACTGTTGACTTGGTTCATGTTTGTTTACTACTGTATACACAAGTCAAATGTGTAATTAACTTTAGTCATTCATTTTTAATGTAAAATTAATTTACAAAACACAATTCAGTGTTTGCACTGTTTCTTTTTAATGAATAAACAAACTAATACTGTATAAGTCGTTAATTTTGCATACAGAATTTTTCGCGATTTCCTACTGTCTTGACATTTTCGCGTGTTGATATTTTCGCGGACGCTGTTTTCACAATTTAGGTATTTTTGACCTACGCCCTTAGCATACCACGATCGTTAAAGGCGGTCTTTTTGTCTAGTTCTAGGCCTCTTTCTAGCCTAGCTACGGCTATCTTACCACTTTTGCAGCCGCACTAGGCCTTACTTTAACCCATCTGACACTACACTTGTGGTGGTGCAACATCTAATCTAGGCCAGCCTAGCTAACAGATCAAGGCTAGATGCTAGATGTCTAGACTAGTTAAAATATAACATACATTTATAATGCAGTAATAATAATGTCACTAAGTGTATCTGTTTCTGACTTTTTAATTAGAAAAAAATATTATCCCACGAACCTTCCGTACACCTCTCGCATTTAATGTTTACACTATACCATGAGACAAAATCAGCTTCGCACGCACTAGCTCGCACACATGGTCAGGCTAGTCAAGTCAAACTGTTGACGATATCCAAACAATGTGTGGGAAAAACCGGAAGATCATTAGTGGCACGATTTATTGCTTTTTTTTTTTTTATCAAAATTTTGTGTATTTTTTTATCAAAATTTTGTGTATTTTTTTTATCAAAATTTTGTGTATGGTGTGATCGATGCTAGAATGTAGCTGAAGAAAAAAGGGTTAATTTAACAACTCCATAAATAAAGTGTAACTTCTAGGCATGGAAGTGTTATCATGTACAGTAGGTATTCTTATTAATTAGGACTAGGCCTAGGCCAGAAAGCCAGGCAGAGCCTGTGCTACAGCCTGGCCCACAGTTGGTACTACTACTACATCGTGTGTGCTACCACATGGGACTTTCCCTTTCTTTCGGGTTGATGTTTGCGTTTTTGAAACTTGTAGACATTATTTTCACGAGTTGTTAAATTCGCGGTAAGGTAAATTCGCGAAAATTACAACTTATACAGTAAAGTTTGAAAGAGAATAAACATAATTATAAAAAAAGAGTCATGACCAACGGTATAAGTGCTTGTACGTGGATGGTTTAATCGTGAGATGATGTTATTAGTTATTAGTTGACATTAGTTAAAAAGACACATAATGATGAATGTTATCCTGATCATAGCAATACACCATTTGGAGCCAACGGCCAACCATGCCTTAGTTTAAGGAGTAGGTTTTTTAGTTTCATAAAATAACTTCAACTTTTTTCAAAATGTCAAACTCAATATATAATAATAATATCTCAAATTTTTTCTGGTGCCAATTCTGAACTGTATGGGTGTAATATTTTGACATCATCATGCCCATATATGGATAAATTAGATATCTGTCACAGAAAAAAACCTGACAGCGTGGACAAACCTAACACTGACTGAGTGGCATATCTAGGAGATTTGAAATGGGGTGGGAAGGCCCTGATGAAGTGGAGAGCTTAGGGGTGAGGGGGTGATTTGAGGCAATTTTTAACTAGGCCAAAAACAAAAAATTTGTTGTGTTGGCCAGGTTTTGGGAAAATCCCAAAAATTTAGTAGGTCGGAAATTTTTTTTTTACAACTGCAAGTATGTGTTTACGCATAAAAAGTAAAAAATACACAAATGATACAACAATTTTGGATTCGCATCGCGTACCATTCAGCAAAATAGGCTAGCCTTGGCCCCCTAGCCTGACCAAGGCTATTCCATCTTTATTTGCTCATAAAAAATACTGTTTGTTGTAAAAAAAAATAAATAAATAAAATGGCGACCCTTAATTTTTATAAAAATGGTCGGGCATGGCCAACATATTAATTTGTTTTCCTTGGCCCTCCTTGAGTGTGACTTTGTTTGCTTCAACCATTTTCAAGGGGAGAGGGGCAACTAGGATGGTGCGATTATATTTTGGAGACCATGCACCCCCACACACACCCCCTAGATATGTCACTGTATTGACTGCCAAGAAAACCTGTGCAAAAAAATACTAAATCTAAAATTAGAAGTTTTTCCAGATACTGCTTCACAGACAGACAATTACACTAAGGCTACATTCAGACTTGGGATATAAGCCAGGCTTGAGTTAAGCCCAGCTCAACGTTAAGCCCGGCTTAATTTTGCCAGCCGTTCAGACTAGCGGGATTAGTCAGGAGGCACGAGCATTTGCATAATAATGAACCGTGACAAGGAAACATGTTTCAAAACATTGTTCGCGAAATGTATGCTCGCTCACAGCGTACATAATCGAATGCAGATTGGTCAATGCAAGACCCCCTCCCCCGCAACGATTAAAGCCCAGCTTAGAAAAGTTAAACACGGTGGCATGCCAGGCCTAGTTACTATAGGAACACAGCCTGGCTTGAGATAAGCCACCTAGTTCAGACTGGCAGGTGGATAAACCCGGTGAGTTGAGCCGAGTTTATCCACCTAGTCTGAACTAGGCCTCTATTAATAAAAGAGGTTAGGCCTATAGAGAGAGGGACAGTTTCCTACATTTCCTGTGATTCAATAAGGTATTGTTCATGTCTAGACGTTATGGCTTGGCAATCATTCAAAGTGTTTAACATTGTCTGGATGAATAAATAATTACATGAATTTGTGCAACTTTGTTAAAACTTTCCCAAAGAACTATAGTAAGTTATAAGAAAAAAATTGGCACTTCAATAGTGATTCAAACAAAACATTTATATGGTTGCTTACTTTTCCTCGAGAATAATCTGTATTGAGAAACTATGAATGGAATTTGAAATGAAAAGGCAGGTCAAAAAATTATAAATTATATTGTGTTCTAAAAATAATATAAATACAATAAATCGTGGTGGATATATATAATTATCAGTAGTTGTATACCAGATACGATAGCCTTTCAAGGAATTATTTAAATTATTAATATGTGCTGGTCTGATGTGCAGTGTGTGGATAATAATAATGCCTTAAGCACTTTGATATGATTATTGAAATTTCAGGCAGTATATAAATAGCCTAAAATTGTTATCCAGTTTCTAATCTCACTATATACTACTATATCATCATACTCACTGAACTATATATTAACATAACCAGTATTACATTACCACCTTCTCTTCTGATATCATAAGTCCTTCGTATCACTTAATCACATTTATCACAATATATTTTGATAAATTGACAAAGTAAATAAAAAATAAATTTCCTATTAAAAAAACGAATGAAATAAACTGAAATAAGATCAAAAATACATTCCCTTTTACTTTCTTATCTGAGATTAATCAGTGGAGCTTTGGGTTCATAAAAACATGCATTTTTATATTTAAATATATTTAAAAATACTTACAAAATTGCCAATACCAGGACTGGTGACAAATGATGTCCACCGGGAATCAAGGCTTCTATCTTTGTTCAGTTTTCTAACAGTTGTTTTGCAGAATGTGTTCTGTTCAAGTTCCCTAAAAAATAACAATAAATTTGTATTAGAGAGCAACATAGCGCAGTTAGTCAAAACAGCTGGTACTTAACCGGAGGAGGGGGGGGGGTGGGGGTTAGGATTCTGCCTGTCTCTTATACACATCTAGATAACCCTTTTGACAAGTTTACTACTACAGCAGTATTTTATTATAGCTTTGTTTATTAAAGAAACACTTTAATAAATTTAGTCTATTTATCTCTCTTTCTCCAGGAGTATAAATGGGATGTATATGATTGAAATAAATTTTGTCAATTTGATTACTCACCATGGATCATTAAGGAAGTATATTGTATATGATTAATTCTTAATTTAATGACTTAGTGTTACAAAAAGTACTTTGAGGTTATTTACAGTTAATGATCCACAAATAATATGTAAATGTAAATAATATGTAAATGTTATTTACTTATATTTGATATTCCAACATAAAGAGATTGGCATCATTGCACCAGGAGGTTCGGTTATCATGGCTTCCAGGAGCCAATTCAAAGCACATAGTTGACGAAATATTGACTTCCTTAAAAAAATAATAAACATAAACAATAATAACAGTTATTGAATTATTGAAAATACCAAACTAAATCCAACACTGTAAGGATACAGAAACTGAAAGGTCCACTGATTAATCTCAGATAAGATAGCATAATACATACTCCAGGATGGCGTACATATCGATACTTGGAGTATGTATTATACTATCGAATTAGAAAACACTTGAAAACCATAATCTAAAAATAAAAGAATGAATACTTAAGTTTCCTATTCTCACTAACAATATGGACACCTAATATTTTCTTTGGTAACAATTCAGTATTTTAGTAAAATGAGTAGTACTTTTCATTCTTTTTTCCACTGAATTGATTTAAAGTATAAGATATTATGGAGTTCAATGATGATACTCAACGGTATAACAATTATTTTGTTTACCTAGAATTTAACTAGAGCAGTCATGCCATAGAGTGCACTTCTGCCCTGTGCCTGAATAACAATATGCAGGCCGTGTATGAAAGGCAAAACTCCAGCAGACCCTCAATGAAACAATGGAATCGATCTGCTATTAAGGGCACTTTTTTTATGAGGGGTGATTCAATTGTTTTTTATGCTTGAGGTAAAAAACCGAATTGCTGTAACCTTGAACTTATTTTTGACCTTTCCTTCCGAAATTTTAAGTTGTCTTTCTTCGATTATTATGTACCATTCCACTAAATTTCAACATTTTGATTTAATTTGATTTATTCAATATCTTAACTTTATACAAACATAAATATACAAAACAGAAAAATAAAACATGTTGAAAAAAACCAAATGCAGATATTGAGACAATCCTCTATGTCCTATTAAGGGACTTAATATTTCCAGGGGGTCCCTCATTCATTAGTTTTTGCATAATCTTGCTAACAGACAGAAAGCAGTGAATACATAACCTCCTTGGCGGAGGTAATAAAAGGTGGATGTAAAATTATCACAACATTTCCTCTTTTGCTTACTTGTCTGGTGGATCTCCAACATGCATTGCAGTATTTATGTTGGTAGAGTACGGTGTATATGGGCGTGGTGGTTCAGAAGGTTTCTTCTTCTTGCTCTTCCTTCTTTTATTTATGCTCCGGACTGTGTCAGGTGTCCTGGACACTGATGTCATACTACTGAAAGATTTCCTCACCGTGTTTTCTTTTCCATCAGAAATGCCTTGTTCAGACCTGATAATGTCTCTTATACACATCTAGATGTGTATAAGAGACAGCATTTATCACAATAAAAAAGCTTCCAAAAAACACTTAACACCGTGTGCTTTTTATTCTTGTCTTACAACGAGTCTTAGTCGAAAATAGGACCACAGGTACCATTAATGACAAACTATAGTAATAAACTATTAAAATTATACTTTGTTCTTATATATTTTTACTCTTATTCTTTTATCGCCAAAAAAAAACAAAATAAAATAAAATTGATATATATAGAATACAAATACAATAAATTGAATGAGTGGGCAGCAAACTTAATCACTATAACAAAAAGTCTGTCAACCTCACTCATGCAGTTTTAAAAAAGACAATATATACTAACAGATCTACTTACACTGGTGAAAATGCTACACTTTTTGTGGAACTCTGACCTTGTGTAAGAAAAAAATTGCTGAAAAAGAACCACATTTATGGATTAAGCACAGACTAACAATAACAAAATTACTTCAATACAATGTAGTAGTTATGAATAAGGTAAAAAAAAAATGTTATGTTGGCGTAACAGGCCCTAAAAATAGGGTAGGTAGGTAGGTAGAGATTATTATTATTTTTTTCTTTTTTTTTACTGTCACAATATTCAGAAAAGGCCTTGAAATCTATAAAATCAATTAAATAATCCTTTAAAGCCCCTAATTGTCATATTTTTCGTCCTTGGACCACTTTTGAAACATTTTGAGTGACGCCTGACCTACTTTGCTAATGTAAACTTGCATCGTGAAATTTAAATAAAAATGTCTAGGGTCGGCCAATTTTTTAGGGTCAGTCAGGTTATGCCAACATAACATTTTTTTTTTGACCTAATGGTAAAATAATATGCACAATGCATTCTTGATCCATTCCCTTAAAAATAATTGTATACATTAACAAGAACCTAAAGGCATATCACTGAAACACATTACAAGATATTATTATCTCTGGCCACTGAATTCATAATTTGGCAAACTGTCACAACACATAATTTTCTCTGCTCCCTGTGGAGTGCAAGTACATAGTCACGCTGAAATACATATTACCGTTATACTAAACCAATATCATTAAATACCACAACGCCCCACCAGGTAACCATTTATAGTCATGGGTGGATTGCGACGCACGTAGGTAATGTGCCTTGCCCAAGGGCACAAGCCAAATACGCAGGGGAGTTTTTAAACCTCCACCTTAAGATTGAGAACTCAAAGCACAACCACTACCCAACCATTCCCACTGTTTAGCAGAGCACTGCACAAAGTTCAAAATATTCAATTCTGCTACATCTTTACCAGGTATCAGTATATGCCTGGATGGATAGACAAATATCCCAGGACACAAATGGCATGTGATGTAAACCCCAATCTAAAGGTTGAGTGCCACAACCACATCTATTTCAACAATTCCGCCCACAATATTGTATTTGTTACATGTAGTATTGAAGAGTGCATACCTTGGTCTCTATGCACTCACGCATGGTGGCCTCTGTATCAAACTTTAGCGTTGCTTGATTAATGTTACTTACTTGATTTCAATGTCTTCGTTGAGGTCATCATCGGTTTCATATTCGTCTGAGCTATCTTGTGCAGGTGGTTGCCATTCCCTCCTTCTTTGCTCTTCTCTTTTTAGTCTCTCTATTTCCTTTGCGTTTCGCTGAAAGTACAATTATTTTCAATCACTTTCAAACATCCCAACAGTTTTATGAATATAATTTGCCACTGAATCACATGATATCAAGCACTTTTTAATGTACAATGATATATTTAATTGTATTTTTTGACAGTTTTACTCACTCTTTCCTCATCTTTTTGACGAATTATACTAAAGACACCATGTCCAAGTTTTGCCGACTGTACCATTTTTCTAAAAGGTAAATCCAAAATAAAGTACAGGAAGATAATATTAAGATAGGAAAACATAGCCATAGAATGGCACATGGTCATTCAATGAAATAATATGATATAACTTATGATATGGACCAACATAAATTTTAGCATATATTCAATAAAAACCAAAGAAACTTGCCTTCCAGAAGCAACTTCTTTTGATAATGATTTCTGATTTTTATTTGACCGCCTTGTCAGTACAAACTTCTTAGGAACTGGAACTTCTTCAAGTCCTGCTACTCCATCTTTTTTTTCCTTGTCTTTCTTTTTCTCTTCCTCTTCATCAGAGCTACTAGATGATTCTTCATTATTCTAAATTTGTAATTAAATAATCAATTAATTAATGTACATCATTAAAGGACAAATAAAGCTTTTAAAAATTTGGGTCCATGGTAAAAGCCTGGAATCTAGTGGCTGTGGCACATTTTATGGAGGCATATGTCTTGCCTGAACACCCACCCCCCACCCACCCCACCCTCCCTCCTTGGCGCTACTGAATACCAAAATATATTATTTTCTATTCAAAATAATTTAATAAAATCAAAACAAATTCCAGCTAAATTTGTTGTGTGAATTACAGCCTTTTCCAATCTTGAAATTACAATGTACTACACTTACTGATAAGTGATTTTTGGAAATGATTACTATGTTGAACAGATGCCTAGCAACAGTAAGTCTCATATTACAATAAAAGGTACAATCCTTTAATGCATTTACCTCTCAATACAATAGCTAAAGTGTTAAATCTTTTCACATCAACATCTCATTAATTGCTTGGATTTTGTCTGTATTTTAATGAACAAGTCAAGATTGGACATTCAGTTGGCCTAGCCTATATTAATACACAATGTATTTTATCAACATTCTCAAATTATGAAATAAAAACAAATATTTTTCATTTTCCAACTTTTTAAAATTTGTTTTTCTTGTACAAACACCTAAAATATATTTGTAAAATCTAGTCCAATGAACAGAGGCACAAAAACATACAAATTTGTCTTACTCTGCTAAAGCGTACAGTACCGAAGGCCTACTATACTACAAGTACATTATATGCCTAATATTATTATTAAATGCATAAAATTAGTAAATGAAAGTACAGTACTTCTTGGATTGACCTACTCTAAAAAGTACTCTCTAGTATTTAACTATTTTTCTATGGCACAGTCAAAGGGCTGTGTACATGTGTACATAAGAGGCCTGTGTCCACATGGATGTGTACATTTTTAATGGAGGATGTTATATGATAGTGTATAGTATGTTTATCATAATCAGAAAAAGGAGCAATCAAACCTTATTAATAGGTCCATGATCAAAATATATAGACGTACCATAAAAACATTTTTTATGGGAGAAAATTTCATTTGATGACCCGGATGTAAGTACAGTAAATATTAATATTAGGACATAAAATGATAGAAAGTATGATTTCACAATAAGAGACCTATTGAAGGAGATATTATAAATATTTTGTCACTAGTAGAAAACAATATTTTATGGGAGATAATTTCACTGAACTCACAGATGTATGTAGGCCTACAGTAAATTTAAATCATAAACACATAGGATTTCACTGTAAGAGACTATTGAACAAGATGTATCATAAATGAATTCATGTCACTTAAAAAACAATATTTTATGGGAGTTAAATTAACTCTTGTCTCGATGTAAATATCATAGTCAAGTAAGCAGATAAAAGAACCAAAACTTCCTTTGTTAAGCTTCAACCAGACATAATCTCAGGTGGTTTACTTTGAAATTTGAAAGTATACAGTAGGCCCACTGTCACTGTGGTGAAATCAAGAAAACTCATCAAAATGACAATATAAAACAGGTTATTAAACAGCTAATATTTGTCCACCACTGCAAAATAAAAGTAAAACTTTTTATACAGGTATTGATATGACAGTACTTGCTCTTAATCAGATAGCGTATCTAGGAGCTTTGAAGTGGGGGTGCCTGATTGGGGCGGAAATTGGAGTGTGATTTTTTTCCATGAAATTTTCAATGAGGGAGCGACTGTGGGAGGCACGCTTTATGTGGGGCGTGCCACCCGTGTACCCCTAGATATGCCACTGCTTTCACAGTAATATATGAGAAAGCTGCCATGCATATGTCTCATAAAGATAAAACAAAATGCATTCTGTAACTAAAATTAAAATTATTATACTAAAACGTTCTAAAATAGGTTCTTACCTCATCTAATTGTCCCAAGGCATGTAAAATAAGCTTTTTTTCATTTAAGTACAATGGCTCTCCAAGAAGTTTATATGGCTCATAATCGACAGAATTGTAGCCTTGTTCTTTCCTCTGCTTCTGTCTTCTTGCAAAATTCTGCCGGAAAACAGTTTCTCTTGTTGGTTCAGCACAGTTATAATGTGTCTCCGATCGTGCCAATATGTGCTTTCCCAGATCAGATTTTATAGGAAGAGGTTTCTGTTCAATGTACGTCCTGGGGTCTCTTTGTTTTGGGGACATTTTTTAAACACTCAGCCTATTTTCACATCTTTGCTGATCACTATCATCATTCCTTTGCGATTTAATATCCTTTCCCACTGTTGAGTTGTATTCTTGATAAACTCAGCATGATGAATGTTTAGAAACTGTCAACATCTAATACAGAATTTGAAAAAGTACATTTGATGTGTTGGAATGAATTTAAGTGGGAAGGGACCAAACACTGGGATGTGTCTCAATTTTTTATCATAGTTGGGACTCCCGAATAATAATAAGATATAGGATAATCCCTTACTGAATGTTTCTGTTTAGTAAAAGAGGTGGATAGAATTCCTTTCATCCATACCATTTTTCTATGTCTAAAAATCTAAACCGATAGACATATTTTGTACCATAGGTGAGCAAGCTATTGGAGCAATGGTCAACTTTTGTTCCATCTGAAATATCAGGAGTGAAAATTAGTGTACAAATGCATATTTATATTAAATTTGGTAAGGAACACATAGTCCAATTAAGAGCAAGCAATGGGACAGGTTCAAATACCAATTGATGAGAAAAATATTATAGAGATGGTAGACCTCAAAGTTGTCAGTATAAAATAGGCCTACAATGTGATTACAGTATTTGGTCTACATATCTTATATTTAATTTTACTTATTTCAAACAATCGTCCAACAGGAATGCTTTGTTCCACTTTTACTGGTAAAAATTGCAAAAAAATATAAATCTAAAATATAATATCACAAGATATAACAACATTTTAAAAATATTATATTATTTTATTATTATTTTCACTATTACTATAAATATGTATATTAATTAAAATTACATTCAGGCTCATGTAAAGATGTAGGCATAATTTTTTTTCTCCATATGCATAGAACACATCCTTATTCCCAAATCTCTCCGCTGACCTGCATAGGCCTCTGGGTCGCCCAACAACTACCCTTTAATATTCATGCTTAGTGCTAGGACTATAACTTTCCCAACACGACTAAAACCAGGCGTATAGACTCACTGACGAAAAGAATATCCGCCTGTCCTCTTTGAAAGCACAACCTTTCTAATGTTGGCCTACCCTTCAATACTCCTCGAAGTCACCTAGAGAGAGGGCTAACGAAACATCCCGTATCCGAGGGCTAACGAAACATCCCGTACCCATCATGGGTACGGGATGTTTCGTTAGCCCTCTCTCTAGGTGGCGGATGGCGAAACTCGGCCTAAATTCTTAGGCCATTCCTAAGGGCATGACATCGTAATAACAAACAAGTAACACATAGACGTAAGTCCTTACCGTCTTAATAAAGTTCACACAGTTCTGAAGATTCTACAACCTACACTTAATCGACAAAATTATATTATTTTTATCGTCAACAATTCCATGTCCTACAGAAAAAGTTACTTACCATGCTTACAGACTGCTTGTCACGATTTACAGAAAGTTGGTCTTCTGTTTATACCCCCTCTGCTTTACATTTTAATGCATTTAGTAATTAATACTTATCGTTTAATTTTCAAACTAAAAATAAAAATGAATTATAAATGTTATATATGCTTTTGTTTTTTTAGAAAATGTTTAATAATTCTGTATCTTTATAAGAGTTTACAATCACAAAACATCGCTGTGGTAAGGGGGAATATCTACTCAGCGTAGTTGTCTATGTAACCTGTTGCTAGGCAATGGTAAATAAAGTATGTTTACCTGAGGGCTTTCTGTTCGCTTCAGTGCCATGGTCTTGATATTGAATACACTGTGTTCGAGACAAATGACAAAGAGCAGACAGTAAAGACCGCTTTTATTACAATAGTTGAAAGGGGATCACTAACATGTAGTGTTGTATACCTAAATCGAATCGTGTACTCCATTTGTTGATCCCATAACAATTAATGAACTTGCTTGAGTTGTCTGAACATGACACGTTATATGTACAAAAACAATCAGGATCGTAATCTTATATCTCCAGGGCAGGTCTTCTTTAGTAAAAACACCAAAGAAACTTTTCCAACTTTCTCCCAGAATTAAAATTTTCCCTACTATTTGCATACCAAATAGGCCTAATATAAAAGGAAATACAGGTGTCCCTCCAATAATTAAAAACCACTTTTGGGACCAGGGTTTCCATGGTCTTTGGTCTCTAATTAGAATAATGAAGATAAAGAACAAAGAAAGGTGGTCTTTAATTGGAGGTGTCTTTAATTAGAGGGAGACCTTTATTATAGATTAAAAGATAAATTTTTCCTCTTTTGTCCAATTTTAATTTGAAAGGTCCGCAAAACGACAGCGAAATGTATATGCTACGTAAAGTAACAGGAACATGACTCCGGTAGGCCTATACAAAAAATTACCCAAACTACTATCTCTGCAAATAACTTTTCCTAACTGCTCTTCTTTCACTTATTGACAAACCGCCATTGGCCATTCCAACACGAACTGTTACCCATTCCACAGCTTCCTTCCAACACCGCACTTCTCTGTAGCCATCTATTTTAAGATGATAGTTCATATTCCCTTTGTAGCAAATAATATCTTGAATCTTTATTCGGCTTTGGGTTTCCGATTAGCAAAGTGCATTTTAAATAGCATTGGTATTTAATTAAAGATCTTTTGCAATAAAAAAAAAATATGTCAGTGAAAACTTATTTGCTTTGATCTGTGTTGCATTTAAAGTTATTAACATTTTGAACTTTTTTATTTATAGATGAATTAATGTATTGATAATTAGGTTATGATAATAAATTATATGAAAATATTTGTTATTCTTCAGACTAGTGTATGCACTTCCAGAACATAGTGAGATTTCTGTACGAGTTCGTTCTCTGGTTACGAATACTTAATCTTTTATCCATTTTCGTTCTTTTCTTCCCATGAACGCTGTAGCATTTAGCTTATTTGAAATAACCCTATTACTGTAAAGTATAATGCGCCATCTACAGATTATATTTTTTTTCATTTTGAGAAATCGAGCACATCAAAATTGTAGAGAAAAAAATGTTAATTTAAAAACATTTCAATCAAAGAAAAAATAACATTTAGATTTGGCTAGGTCTTTTGTTATTACTGTAAATGCTTGAATAAGCGCGCACCAAACGTGATTTTTTTTTAGCTAGGCCCCGCGGTGCTTAATCGAGAGTATACGGTATATTACCCTGTGTGTAATGAAACACTTTGAGAAACAGGGTATTAAATACAATGTATACAGTGTTATTAAATGAATAAATAACACAATGAAGACACAAGCATTTTTTTTATATAAAACTCTTTAAAAACTTAAACTCTCAAAAAATTGACATAATTTATTAAGATATCTATTTTTTTTTTTAAATTGTATGTAAAATTAATCAGGTACTCAAATAATAAAAAAAAGGGTTGTAGAAAATAAATAAAAGAAAGTACATACAGGTGATACTTAATTCTAAAGGTCTGATACAATGATGTAAAGGTGAAAAGATGTGAAGAAAACAAATACATAGTGTAATGGATGTTGGTTTTAAATTTTAAAAAAAATACATAAATTTGAAAAAGATATAAAACGCAGGTATCACTAAAGAGGATTATGTTACTGATTGTAAATCACCAAAAACAAATTTAAAATCGATTATATTTTGAATTACTAAATTGCTATACAATTTCATAAATTTTTCAATTTTTTTTTCAAACTATGTGTAATAACGGAAAAAAAACATACTTTATTAAAAGAAGGCTTTAACTTCGAGAAACGTATTACATGTATATATTAGTTACTGTTATTTTATGTTAAAGTGTATATTATAGATTAGAGATGAAAAAATGAATGAGAGCAATGAAAAAGCGTGACACTAAAGGAGGTGACTCCCACAACACGCAATGCATTTCATTTGCTAGCTCTTCTAACCGTTATTTTTAATAGCGTCACTGTCGTACGAAATTTGTTTGAAATTTATCAGCTCTTGCTATTCAGGTTCCTAACAACAACCAAATGAATGAAAATTTGAATAATTGTTTACGAATTATTAATTTCAGAAATCCATTATGTAAGGCCCTCAAAATGCTAATTCCGGGTTGTTTTTTCTTAAATAAATAAAAACACTCCCAACCGACCCTGAAAAAAGCTTGGTGATGCGCGCACGTTACACAAGTATTTTTTTACATGGCTTTATTGAGATGATACCGGTAATTTATTTGTTGGAGAGGAGCTACAGTCCAAGAAAGACTCATACTAAAAGATTTCCTAAATTTTAGAATCATTTTTTTTTCGGGGGGGGGGGGATCTGGTGCAAAATTATTGTAACGAAGCCGGCTCTGTATACAGAACGATGAACAAAATAACTCTCGTACACACGTTTACAATCCAGTAGTATAATAGCATCTTATTTTGATTCCAATCTTCTGGTAGAAACCCCAGCATAGTCAGCTTGATGAGCATGAGACCAGAAGCTCAACTAACTAGCGTAATTTTGGGTGTGTTGGTAAAATATTATACATTATACCACCATCTCTTGTGAGACAAATAAGATTATGATATAATTATGAATTATGAACTTGACCCAGCTTAAAACACTTGTATCTTTAAAGTATCTTAAATGAATTACTTTCTTTACCTCCTAGGCCTGTAGAAAGCATCTGTCGCCTATTATATCAAAAGAACTTTTATGATCTAGTTATTATATTTGTCAGTTATGTAAATTTAAGGGAATTCCCCTAGTGGTTTCAGACCAAGAGGTAGGCTCTTCTCTATTTTTAAGATATAACTACTTCGCAGTGACGAACATTTGGTTGCCAACCGGCAAAAATGCTTCAGAAGAAAATGTGTGTAAAAATCTATATACAGTAGAATGGTGCTGGGTGGTGGTGTCAATTACAGAGCGATAATATAGATCAGTGGTTCCCATCCTTTTTGCGTTCGAGGACCCCTCTGGACCTGTAAAAACTCTTCACGGACCCCCATGTCTAAATATACTCATTGTCCACATCCCAACAGATTTTTAAATGTATATACTGTAGCAATTCTAGGTGGCCGGAAATGACACTGTCAGACTCAAAATTTAGGGTGACTCATGGTATATTCTACCAATAAGGTTATAGAGAAGATGAATCGTCAAATTACGACATCTGGGATCTTGGAATTCGACATAGACAGGAAGGGAGGGGTGCAGACAGCAAATTGTACAGACTGGGGAGTTAAGATACCTCAGCCCTACCATGGTTGGGGCTGAGGTAGGACATTTTTAATGTTTATGGCACTTCTAGATGGCCAGAAATGACACTGTCTGACTCAAAATTGGAATGCAAGATTCTGTTATCCTCCATTTACTTTTAATTTTGTCAAATTTAGGGCTCCCTCCTGATTTTAAAATTTATTTATTATCCAGGTAAAAGCAAAGAGAAAACATGGAAACACGATGTACCGTACATTACCTGAGGATCTCCTATATTAAACATCTTTACAAAAAAAATACATTAAAAAAAAAAAACAAATTTGAAAGATTCTACCAGATCACCAATAAAATATTGGATTTAAAATAGGCCTATAATGTCAGTTAAAACAATTTACAGTGAACGAAGTCCCGGGTATTCATTATTGTCAAGGCATGAACACACTGTTGTACTGTAAGTTTGATCTATTAATCTAGCGCACCCCGACTTTTTCTCGTACCCCAAAATTTTTCGCGGATCCCTTGCGGACACCTTCGACTTGGCAGACCCCCTATTATTTTTCGTGGACCCCAGGTTGGGAATCACTGATCTAGACCAGCCAGTGAAGGCGAAGTTCAAGTTCGTTAAAGAATCAATTGAAATTGCTAATTAATTTACTGGGTAATCCACATTTCGGCTTGAAACCCAGGGTAAATTTTTTGATTGGGAGCAGATGGGTGTTGGAGAGGGGTAAAACATATAGCCTCAACTACGCTCTAGCGGGAAAGAGCACCAATGCCAGAATTTATGCTGGAGGAGGCTGGACGGGCTCAGGCCAACTTGCGTTAGCGTTATACGTCTGTCTCATCAACAATTCTTCACAACAACGTATTTTCATTTTTCGCACTGTACTTTTTGTATTATTGCACTTTGTGTAACCATTATTCTACTGTTTTGTTATAATAATCTTGCTATATGTAGCTATGGTGATTCTTGTATATAGTTGTTGATAAAAATAGCCACTGACACATACCGTATTTATTCGAATAAACGTTCCCTCAAACAGAAGCCCCATCAGGGTCTCATTTGGAACAAACGCCTCCGAATGAGTGTAAACAAAACTAACTGAAGCAGCATCATTCGCAACACATTCTAGGCCTAATGTTCTCCTCCAGTAGAATTACATTTTTTCTAACCTGGTTAGAATCAATAATCTTTATGATCATACAATAACACATTTTGACGGTAAATATGTGTTGTGTTCCAAATTTGCAGTAATGAATTTAAGGCGTGATTATTTCAGCATAAATTTTTACCCATTTTACACCCAAAAAAATAAACCCCTCCCTCGAATAAACTCCCCCTTAAAAACGATTCTCAACAATAAACGTCCGAGGCGTTTATTTAAATAAACACGGCTATTCTTATTTTTCATACTCTATTACTACTATATTACTCTACTATATTTATAAGCATTCTATTAGGGTGAAACATAGCGACTTCAACAATTATTTGAAAAATGACACAATCTGTTCCAATTCAAGCAGTTTTTATTGCAATGCTGTACAACTATATATGTAGCCTCTGGAAGGTTGTGTAAATGAGTTATTTATACTCAAAAAATTAAAAGCGTAAAAGAACTTACAGTTGTAGAAATCCTACCGACTATAATTATCAAATGATTATAATATAATCATATTATGAGGTCAGTAACGACAGTAAATAACTAAATTAGAAATACAGTATGACAATAATTAGAATAACAAACTATACACTTTATAAAATGGGTAAAATAAAGCTCTGTCCAGACTATCAAATATTATTTGACAAAAACATGTGACATGCCTAGATTATGACATCACATCATGACCATATATAGACACATCGTGACTAAATATGGGCATACAGCAGTTTGTTGTTAAAGGACATCTGATAGAGTGGACATAAAGCTTGAGTACGCTACTTTTACACAAGAGAGGACAGGACGAGGAGCAGTCAACAACGGCAATTCGGGTTAAACGCCCAACTGTTTACTCTGGTCTTCACGCTCTGATGAGCACAGAACCACCGTCCACTCGTATTCCCGTCCTGTTGCGTAAAGTGCCTACTATGACTATTTCGTTTATATTCAAACATAATTGAAGCTATAGGTCTACAATGGTTAACATTTCGACTTAATTTTAATTAAACAATTGAAACTCCAATTGCGTGTTAATTCAGTGCAAGTTCCACATGCACTTTAACTGATGTAAGCTTTTGTATGAGGGTGTATACTGTAATAATATAAATAAAATTTATTTAATCTACGAACTGCTATAACATTTCTTGTTTGACGGTTTAATACATTTTAGGAAAAATAATACAATCTCATTCGTTTATACAAATAATATGCCTAAATTTAAAATTTCATACTTTTTATGTATATATAAAATATAATATATTAGCGCTACCACACGGTATGTCGATTGAACACTGCGCTATATTAATACACAAAACACACGTAGACCTACATAGTTATTATAAAATTGCACAGTATCAAATAATTTGGTTACAAAATATCAAGGTGCTGAAATTATACTAACTTATAGGCTTATTCATTTGCACTTTAGGCTTCGAATGCCATAGGCCTACACGTTTTTTGCCGGCTGGAATGGAATTCTTTTATGTAAAATCAGTTTTTAGTTGTATTGTATTCTACCATGCCTAAATTGGCGAATGAGTTTTCCCGACATCCGAGGTGTCTTTTAATTACTTTTAAGTTCTTCAAAATTCAAGGTTTTCCCCTCTTGAAAACAGTCAGGTAAATTTATCCTTGTTATTACAGTAGATAGGCCTTATGTGTCTATACATACATAACAAAAATTGAGTAGGCCTAGGCCTAATTGCATACGATTTTTTTTCCATTAATCCATAAATCTCAAAAAGAAAGGGGGGTCCGGTGGTTCTCCCCCGTGAATATTTTGATTCCTAGAAGGCGGGAAATGAGTTTTCCCAACTTCTGAGGTGTCTTGTAAGTTCTTTAAAATTCAAGGTTTTCTCCTTTTGAAAACGGTCAGGTAAATTTATCGCATTGTTATTACAGTAGATAGGCCTTATGTGTATATACACTGTCTCTTATACACATCTAGATGTGTATAAGAGACTATATATATGTATATGTACATATATATATACATATATACATACATATATACATATATATATGTACATGTATATATGTGTGTATATATGTATGTATATGTATGCGTATATATATATGTATGTGTATATATATATATGTATGTGTATATATAGGCATATGTGTGTATATATATATATGTATGTGTATAATGTATGTGTGTATATATATATATATATATGTGTATATATATGTGTGTGTGTATATATATATGTGTGTGTATGTATATATGTGTGTGTATGTATATATATGTGTGTGTATATGTGTATATATATGTGTATGTATATGTTTGTATATGTATGTATATATTGTTTGTATATGTATGTATACATATATGTATGTATATATATATATTATATATATGCATATATATATATATATATATATATATATATATGCTATAGCTGTCTCAGATAGGACACATATCTGAGTCAGAATTTGCCGCGAAATATTAGCTACCCCACACAATAACAATACAAAAAATAAAATGTTTATGATAATGTTATTTACATTTTAAATACCCTACGTTACATAGACGACAACCATTGTGTTTGAATCAGAATTGCTGTGTGACGTAAAAGAATAATGTCGTTTGTGAGTGAGTCAGAAAGCGTGTCTCTACAAATTGATGCTCTCGCCATTGGATGGATACATATGTTGTTTACATTTTAAGGGATTATATTAGCAAACTTACCAAATTATATAATAGTTAACGTGAAATGTTTGTTGCCGAACTAATGTGTAAATAGGTGTAAGGTATTTCACTTCAAAACACAGATAAATATCTTTATATTATGCTGCATGAAACTGATTAAGATGTCAACTAGTGTCAGAGCCACTATTTACAGTACGGTACTACCGTAACGCATTATTCGCGTACATCATAAGCGCCATTCTGATACGCATTAGTGTGTGGTGATCCTGATGCACTTTCCTTCTTACTGTCTGTCTTACTGGTGACGGCCACTGTGCCGCTCTTTGAACCACCTCCGAGTAATGTCAGAAGAATTGGGAGGAAAAACATGCTGTGAAGTAAGCCTAGCATGATGACCAAGAACAGGGTCTTGAAAAAGATACGGAAGATATAACCATTTGAGGACGATAGTACAGCAATCCCGACGACGGTAGACAAGGCTCCCTGTAAGATTGGCATACCCAGTGAATATAGAGTTTTGATGATGCGTTCATTCTTGGTGGAGCCCTCTGAAACTGTGAAAGTGTAAGCAATGTGAGCTGAAAAATCTACACTGAATCCAATGCAGAGAATAAGATTGATCATCGAGATTGAGTCTAAGCTAACGTCCCAATGACTCATGAACCCAATCACACCTGTCTCTATGGAGAGTATGCAGAACACTACCCACACTGAACAAATAGGCTGAGGAATAAATATGAGAGCGACCAGCAGCATTGCACCTAATGCAATACCAAGATTTTGCAAAGTGTTTGATAAAACTGCAGTGTATTGATCAAAGATGATAAATGCTGGATGATAAACCGTGATATTGTAATTTGATTGGTCAGCAATGTCACGCATGTTAATCATCATGTCCCGTTCTCTATTCGAAGTGTTAATGTCTTCAGTTGTTACTAGGCACCTCGATGCAAGGATGGCTCCATCAGCCCCAAATACAACATCCATCGAAAAACGCTCGAATGAGGGATTCACAAGGAATTCATTCCTTAGGACATCTAACAAATCAGTGTTACTACTGGAGATATTCCGGACATCAAGGAAACCCATGAAACTTCTTAACCAGCAATCCGTAAAATTTTCACCATAAGTGAATTCTGACTTCTCAAATGTTTCTAATATCGTCATAAATTTGTCATTGATCTCGGGTTCCAAAACATTCAATTCTTCTGGAAATACAACGAACACAATTGGCCCATACTCTTTGAAATATCGTTCTTCTAAGTCGTAATATGGTTCTACATATGAATCATCCAAGGCCAGGTTTCGCAACTGCAGACCTTGCTGCAGCTCAGTTATACCCCAAATGGACACACCGATGTAGGCAAGATAGATGATAACTGCAACGACCTTTGTGGCTGGGTGAGTGACAAATGGACCAAAGAAATCTCTGAAGAAGACCATCACAGCATGAGGAGACTCCTCCCTGGTGTCGGCACTTGTCTTTCGAGATGGGCCTCCGGAGCAACAGATAGCATAGAACTTGCTTGGTGATTCATCCATGGGTCGAACTCTTAAACATGTACCATAATGCCTGTTAGCGTTTTCTCTCTTGCCGCTAATTGCCATACACGCTGCAAAGAAAGTTACCTGGTAGAGATAATCGAAAAGCACCGCCACCCCCGTGTAAGCACAAAATATTTGGACAGACGGGAAGACAGCAAGGACCCCAACGCCAAATGCAAGAGCATCAGTGACACTAGTGATGGTAATGGACAGAGCGGCTTCTGACATAGCTTCCCCCATGCGTTCGTCGACTGGCGCCCTGACATTCGTCTTTCTCCAGGATGATATCATGATGAACATATCGTCAACGCCAATGCCTATAAGTAAAACAAATGTAATTGGTATACAAGATTGTGTTACATCAATATAATCATCCATGATAGTGTCCCATATCAATCAATCAATCAATCAATCAATCAATCAATCAATCAATCAATCAATCAATCAATCAATTAATCAACCAATCAATACATCAATCAATCAATCAGTTAATTAATCAATCAATTAAAGCTGGCAGTTCATCAGTCAGGCAATCAATCAATCAATCAATTGGTCAATCAATCAGTCAATTAATCAAGCAAGCAAACAACCATCCATCAATTATTCATAGTCAATCAATTATTCAACCGATCAATCAATTATACAATCAATCAGTCAATATATTTATCAACCAATCAATCGATTACTTGAGTTAGCAAGGAAGCAAAGATAAATCATATCAATCAATTAACCAAACAAGTCAGCAATAAAAAATAATTAAATCATTAAATCCAAATAGATATAGGCCTATATATCTGTCTCTTATACACATCTAGATGTGTATAAGAGACAGGACCAGCAGCATTGCACCTAATGCAATACCAAGATTTTGCAAAGTGTTTGATCAGCAATTAACGACAAGACGAGATCTCCGAAGAGAGAAATAAATAATTATACGGCAGTGGTAAACTATAGGCCTAAAAAAGGAATCTGCGAGTGTGAAAAAATAGGTGATATATTTATATATACTGTGTATATATATACATATTCATGATTTATATATATATATATATATTATATATATATTGTATATATATATAAATAAATCATGATATATATATAATATATATGCATATATATATATATATATATATATATATATGCATATATATTATATACAATATATTATATACAATAAACTAATCAATAAAATAATCCAAATATTATTATTACACATGCCAACAATTTGTCTCCCATCGTTGCCTTTAATATTATCCCAAAACAAATAACTATTACTGAATTTTAACTTACTTAATATTAAAATTGGCGTGCTAGCAACAATGTCAATAAACGGTACTCCACAGTACATCAGCAGGCCAAAAGCCGACACCACTGCCAATCCTGCAGACGCCACGCCCATCAAAGCCAACCATGGCTTATTCTGCACGTTGTCAAGACGAATACTGGTCCAAATGGCAAAGTTGATAATAATTGTAAACGCAATTGCAAAAGAAGCGAACACCTCATCGCTGGCATTCTCAAGTTCCTGCTCAATAGATCGAGAGGTGTAACGGTAAACGTCAATCAAACGTCCATCAAATGATTCTATGGTTTCTAGAAATTTGTCCTCCCATTTATCAGCAATTGCGTCACCAACCCGAAGGTAAAAGTTGAGCTGAATCGCAATGGCTGTGCTAACAATATCTGTGTCACTTTCAAATTCAACTCCGCCAAATGTTGAGCCAATGAAGGCATTATTGTACATCGGGTATGTAAAATTGATCTCATTCCTTGTAGCACCATCAGGAAAAATGAGAAAAAATTCATTTCGGTTGCATTCTCCTAACCATTGCAAACAAATATCATCAAACGTCAATTTCTTATTTTCATCAATTATTGAAATATTTTGTACCACTCCGCGTAGCTCGTGCAATTCCGCCAGAATGTTGTCGCGTAATATATCGCCGCCGTCCTTTGCGACGATAATCATTCGCCCGTAGCGGCCTAGGGTCGTCAGTCGATTAACAGTTAGATTGTTCCCGCTGACAAACAGGCTTTCAACGACATCACGCTCATCTTTAGCTTCTCCGTTCCTCGGGGTAAACAGTTCCTCTATGTCAGTTGTTTTATCTAGGTATATCATACCGATACCCAGTATGATAGTGATTAATACTGGAAATATTAAAAACGGGATGGGATGGCGAGCAACGAATTTGCCATAACGCCCATAAACAGATGCCAGCGGCTTTTCTAGGCAATCGAGTTGCACCATGATGATAGCGTTGCAGAATAACCAAACTGAAAATAACCCAACATTAATTTAAAAAAAATATAGGCCTATATATATCAACGATCAGCATTGGAGGCGCGCCGACGAATCGGAAGACAAGGAAGGAAAGACGTGACGCAATTAATTGAGAGCGTGGTAATGTTTAGGGGAATCCCGCAATACGAATTGAATAGATGGCAATAAAATGCTACTCAGTATACATAAATTATATTAATATGATTAAAGTGCTAAGCTTCCCTATAGTGTACACATTTAAATTGGGGTTATAAAATATAATTATGTGAATATATTCTTGTTATTCGAGAACAATTCGAAATGCTAGCCTAACAAAAGACGTGTTCAAAACATTGGAGTGTAAAACAAAGTGAAGCATTTTCTACCGGAAAATATTTATAATTATTGTACTATTGTCTTATTAGTCCATTACTTGTTGCTGTTGGGGAATTTCCATTCATTTGGGTGTTGTTAGAGACCTGAAAAGCAACTTTTTATGTTCATTCCACTGTGCAATTTCCAAAAAAATTCGTACCAGTTATTAGAAAATCAACTGTTTGAAGATCTGACCAATGAAGCGATTAAAAAACGTGGTGAAATTGGAAATAGTATATTAAAAAAGTGAACCTCTTAAAAAGCAGGGTGGGTGCGTCCGCACCCATTTTATCCCTCCTGCCTATGGGTCTGGTCTGTCTGGCAAAACCAGGTGATATATCCTTTAATGCTGAACTAAGACACTCGGGCTTTTGTCGATTGGTTGGTAACGGATTTATTTCTAGGTCTCAGTGAGGTCACCCATAATTCAAAATGGCTCAGTGTATGCATTTTGGTCTTCACTATATCAAAAAAACATATTCATCGATTTATTATTACTTTTAGTTTTTTATATATATTTTTAATTATTTTCTTTTTTCTTGGGCCAGAATATATA